CTATTACACAGGACTGAACAGAAATTCAAAATAATTGTCTTGTATTTTTCCAAAACCTTACCACATCTTACTATATTTTGCATTTGTGTTAAGTGTTCTTCCATATCTTAGTAATATGTTAAAACTCCTGTCTTTTAGAAAAATGCATGTTTCTAAACTAGGGCTTGCTGATTAAGGGAGCCTGAAAAATTGGAGAACTGAGAGTGTAAAAAAGCAGTAAGATCAAGTTTAATGGATGAGACTGTGGAAAGATAGAGGAGATGATACGTACAGAAGGACCTGCTCCGCAGTGTGATGCTCAGAGAGTGTTTATCGAAGTACACCCTGACGGCGGGCTCTCCTTGTCCTCACAGGCTTGTAAGAATAATAGTGAACCTGTTTCACTGAGTTGTTAGGATTAAGTGAGAACATAATTGAAGTGTTTAGGACAATGTCTAGCACTTTGAGATAGCACTCAGAAAAATACTTGTGTTTGTCTTAAATTACCTGGTTTAGCAATAGTTCAAAAAGTTGGAAGCAAGGAATAAGAAAAGGGCATTGTAATTCCTGGGGGGAAATCCTGGGGGAAAATACCTCTAAAACCAAAAACAGTAAAAAGGAAAAAAAAAGTTAAGAAATCCTTTTATTTCTTACAAGCAGTTGTCCTGTCTTTCGTCTCTCTCTGGACCAGGCTGCAGCAGAAGAGAGCTCCACCCAACCTCTCCAGCCCAGATAAACCCTCCGCCCAGATAAACCCTGCATGCCCTTGTAATTACTTATTGATAGATAAATTGACTAATGCTCTCCATCCCTTGGAAACACCTATTGATATGCAGATACATTAAAGGTAGGCATATCTGGAAGTATTGCCATTTTCCCCACAGATATACAATTATTATTAACACAACTTTTATTTTCCTATATATTCTTACAACAACCTTCATATGCATTTTTTATAAACTATTTTTAAAAGCAATTTAGGTTCACAGCAAAGTTGAATGGAAGGTAGAGATTTCCCATATCCCCCTGCCCCACACATGCACAGCCTCCTCCACTGTCAGTACCCTGTACCAAAGCAGTACATTTGTTAAAATCAGCAAACCTACAGTGACATTTCATTATGACTAAAGTCTATAATTTACGTTAGGATTCACTCTTGGTTTTGTACATTGTTTGGGTACAAAATATGACATACGTCTTTGCTATAGTACAGAGTTCCCATAACTGAAATTTTTTATGTCAGCACAGCTACAAGATTTTTTTATTCCTAAAATAAAGATCTCATAGATGCGATTTAATAAAGGAAAACTGTACCTGCCTCTCAGTTCCATCTTGCTTTGTAGCCTCTCTGCCTCAGCTTTCTCATCTCAGAAGCAAGGATAACTAAGGATTGATATCTAGTTCTTAGAAGTATCTGTAAACTTTGAAGTGCATAGGTGTGTAGGATGTTGTCACTGCTGTAGAGAGAATAGTGACCTTTAGTCTCTTACTTAGGTCCTTGGCATCTTAAGACCATCAGTTCCTACATGTTTCAGAGGAAGAGAGTTCACAGACAGGAAACAGGGAATCTTTTATCTAAGAAAAACTGTCATAAGACTGTTAATTGTGAGACTATAGGAATTTAAACAGATTCTTAGAATTTCACTAAAGGATAAAATTGCATACAGTCAATAAGTACCTACCTACCAATAATTATCTTAAGTGTAAATGGACTGAATGCTCCAACCAAACGCCATAGGGCGACTGGATGGATTAAAAGCCAGGACCCATCTGTATGCTGCCTGCAGGAGACTCGCTCCAGACCTATAAACAGACAGAAACTAAAGGGGTGGAAAAAGATACTCCATGCAGATGGAAAGACTTACTGATTAAGAGAAATTGGGAATTAGTTAATTGTATCACTTGGTCATCTTATTGCTTTGTGCAGTGGATTTTTAGAGGCAGGCATGCAGGAGCTGGTTTTATTGAAAATCTGGAACTAGGGAGAAATAGCCTGACGTCCCAGTGACTGATTTTTCATCCTGTTTTCATATTTCCTTTTAAAATAAAGCATGAGCTATAGTATTGTGAGTGAGTGGGTAAATAGATAAATAAAGTATTATATGGTAAATATAAATGAGTCCCGAAAGTTGTGTCTTCCTATCTAAATATTCTGTTGTATTCTGACAGTGTGTTACCTCAGAAATACGAACACTGACACCCGTAACAGTATCATCTTAATGGCAGGTGTTTGTGGGGAGGGACACGTATACTCACAGAAGCCCACATGGGGGTCTTCTCCTAGTGCCTGTGTACAGCAGGCCCCCAGTACCTACTGGGTGAGTGAACGCGTACATGCTGACCTGCCTACCTCGGCATCAAGTTTGCTCTGAAGACCAAAACTTAAACTCAGGAGGTACTGTGTAAGAGAACCCACTGGATGAGGAATGAAAACAAATGGGTTTTAATTCTAACTCTGCTCTTTATTTAACTTTGTGTGTACAAGCCATTTTACTTTTCCAAGCTTTAATTAGAACTCCTCAAATACAAAGTGAAAGGCTTGAGTAAGAATAATTAGATGACGCTTAAATGCTTTACAAGATATTAACTGACCTTTACTTACCCTCCACATTCAGAAGTCGTCTCCCTTCCCTCTTTAAAGCACACTGATTAACCCCCACATTACCCTGTCCGCTCATGATTGCTCCTTAGTTCTCCTATACCTGTGGCTCCCACCATTTGAGTCATTGCCTTCCAAGAGCCAATTGTCTTTATTCCAAAACTGTTTATGATGGTTTTACTTGGCTGTTGTATTTACATAATTTGATTTACTGCCATGTTAACTGATGAAATATAACTGAGACAACTGAAAAAGATAAAGGGAGGTGCTAAACATCCTGTCAGATTCTGGACTCAGAATGCTTTCTAAGTTCCATCATCCTTTTAAGAAATTAGAACTGAGTATTTCAGTTTTAGCTTCAGATTGTGCAGTAATGACTAAAGCCAGCCAGAAGACCCATACTCAAACAAAAGGCCCTGCTACGAGAAATAGCTACCGAGTGTACTACTTACAGGCTTTGTGTTAAAATAAAACATAACCTCTTATTATGATTCTCCTCTTGAAAAAAATCAGCTTCTTTGGTTAGTAGACCAAGGTCTCATCAGGTAAGAGGGCTTTTCCTAGGATCTGTATCCCGTGATGTTATGATGTTGTGGGCCTTTAAAGAACACAGTAGCAAAAATCCTATTTTGGGTCATAAACTAATCCTTTTATGCAGGAATTATGCTCCTTGACATCAGGCTCTACTATAAAGCCACAATAATCAAAACAATTTGGTACTGGCACAAGAACCGACCTATAGATCAATGGAATAGAATAGAGACTCCAGATACAAACCCATGCATATTATGATCAATTAATATACAATAAAGGAGTCATGAATATACGATGGGGAAAAGACAGCCTTTTCAACAACTGGTGTTGGGAAAACTGGACAGCTACATGTAAGAGAATGAAACTGGATTATTGTCTAACTCCATACACAAAAGTAAACTTGAAGGGGATCAGAGACCTGAATGTAAGTCACAAAACCATAAAACTCTTACAAGAAAACAGAGGCAAAAGTCTCTTGAATATAAGTATAAGCAACTATTTCCTAGACACATCTCCTCCGGAAAGGGAAACAAAATAAAAAATGAACAAGTGGGACTTTATCAAACTAAAAAGCTTCTCTACAGCAAAGGACACCATCAGCAGAACAAAAGGGCATCCCACAGTATGGGAGAATATATTCATAAATGACTCATCTGATAAGGGGTTAACATCCAAAATATATAAAGAACTCATATGTCTCAACACCCAAAAAATAAATAATCCAATTAAAAAATGGGCAGAGGATCTGAACAGACACTTCTCCAAAGAAGAAATTCAAATGACCAACAGGCACATGAAAAGATGCTCCACATCACTAATCATCAGGGAAATGCAAACTAAAACCACAGTGAGATGTCACACAGCAGTTAGGATGGCCAGCATCTAAAAGACAAGAAACAAACACTGGTGAGGATGTGGAAAGGAGAGCCCTCCTACACTGCTGGTGGGAATGCAAATTGGTGCAAACATGTGGAAAGCAATATGGAAGTTCTGCAGAAAAACTAAAAATAGAAATACCATTTGACCCAGGAATTCCACTCCCAGGAATTTACCTGAAGAAAACAAGATCCATGATTCAAAAAGACATATGCACCCCTATGTTTATCACTGCAGTTTGCAATAGCCAAGATGTGGAAGCAACATAAGTGTCCCATCAGTAGATGAATGGATTAAGATGTACATGTATGTGATGGAATATTATTCAGCCATGAAAAGAAAAATCCTCCCATTTGCAACAACGTGGATGGATCTAGTGGGTTTGTGCTCAGTGAAATAAGCCAGGTGGAGAAAGACAAATACCAAATGATTTCACTTATTTGTGGAATAATAAGACAAAGCAAAACAGAAGGAACAGTATAGCAATAGACTCATATAGACACTGAGCAGTGACTGGTGGTTACCATGGGGGAGGGGTTAGGGAGAAGAGAGGGAGGGGGAAGGGGATAAAGGGGTACAGTAATTCACAATCACAATAAAAGTTGGCCAAGGGGAAGGTAGCACAGTGCAGAGAAAACAGTTAATAATTCTGTACCATCCTATGTTGATAGATAGTAACCACACTAGAGGGGGTGAGGATTTAATATGGGCAGCTGTCGAACCACTGTGTTGCATATTTGAAACCAACATAAGATTGTAATATCAATGATACTTTAACTAAAAAGCAAACAAACTAATCCTTTTAGTTTGTCTGGCTTCTGTTTGTTTGAGATCTATATAAAACAGTCTTCCCTGAATCTCATATTAAAACCCAATTCTTACTCTGTTTCCTTCACAGAACATCCAGAAGATTCTTGGCCTTGCCCCATCACGAGCTGCCACCAAGCAGGCAGGCGGCTTTCTTGGCCCTCCACCTCCATCTGGAAAGTTCTCTTGAATCCAAAAGAACCCTCAGATTCCTGTCATTCTTTTTAGACTTTCAGATCAGACTGGCACCTGTTTTATAGCAAGAACCGTGGGTGGCCTTACACATGGGCCACTTCCTCATTTTGGGTTATTTTTACACTTTTTGGATATGATTCGAATGAGAATGGCACCCAGTGAGCATGATTGTGCTTTCAGTCACCCATTAATTTTTTTTAATAAGTGTGTTGATTAGGTAAGTTCAGTTGAAATGTATAATGAGAAACAAACAGCACCTTTCTTGTTTTTATTCCCTGAGTATTTCCTGTGTGACTGACCCCCAAGTCCGTGCTGTGCGCCGTGTATCCTGGACGTGGCTCTCAGGAGCATTTAGAGATCTGGAAGAAAAATTTAGTTTGTGTGACTCCCAATTGGAATTACTTACGTTTCTTTCAAGCCAGATATACGACCTGAGATTAATAAAGAGGCCAAAATTTTAGCTATTTCATCTACAAGGAGAGAAGTTTTGTTTTGCTTTATTTCTAGATATGTGATATTGGTAATCTGAACTAAAGAGTAAACATTGGCCAGGAGGGGCTAAAATGAAAGTTTTTAGGGTAGAGTTTTCTCATAGTTGCTTCATATGCTCAAAATACAGAGTTGTCCTAATACAGGAATAGGAAAGCAGGAGAGGAAAGGGAGGCAGGAACTCCTGGGAAATAAAAAACGAGGGCCTCGAGTAGTCGCTTTGCGCCTGGTGCCGTCTGCGGATTCCTGCAAAAGCGCCCGTCCACCTCCCTGGCAGCTTAGAGTTCTAGGCGATGGTCTCGGGACCCTCCTTTCAGTCACCCTGGCCTGGGGCTCCTGCCACGCGCCTTTGTGAAGGATGAGAGGCTGCTTACACCGTGACCTCCCTCGCCCTGTGCTCCTCTTTGCTCAAAGCAGTTGGAGGCGGGAATGCAACAAGCAGACAGAAAAGGAAGAGAACTCTATTTCAGTTACTTTTATCAGAAAGGATGCCTGCTAATAGATGCTGATTTCTAATGGTCATTTCTTCATGTCATCGGCTATGCTAGGCAAAATGATAAGAGATTATGAAGAAAATGACATAACTGGTGACAGAAATGAAAAGGAGCCACGCTCCAGATGCCGCCCATTGCCTTTGCAAAGTGACGCTGTGGAGCCCGTCCTGACCGCACCCGCCTTTAGGTTTGAAGCTAGTGCTTTCTAATCAGATTTTTTATGGGCCAGATTGTCATAAAGTGTTTTCCAGTGGGATACATATTCTATACATACCCCATTACTCATCTTCAACCATTACTGACTTATGGCCAATCTTACGTCTACGCCTGCCTGCTCCCACTCCTGTTTGAAGCAGAACCTAGGCATCATGTCTTTCATTCATAAATATTTCAGGGCTTTTAGATAAAATTCCACTTCCATTCACACCTAAAAAATGGGTAATTCCTTGATAAATTGTCTATAGATGTCAAATTTTTTTACATTTTTTAAGAACCAGGATCCAAACAGTAACAATATTGTGATTGATCGACAGGCCTTGTTAATCTCTAATCTCTTGTTTTGGTTACAAACCAGAGTGCCTCAGAATCACCTAGAAGGCTTATTAAAACGCTGCCGGCTGGCTCAGGTGGAGTCTGAGGGTGCTCACCATCCTGACTATCTGCACTCTGATATTATACTTCTTTTTTCAAAAAAAAGTTCACAACCCACTAATTTTACTGTCCCCTAATGGGTAGTGCCAGGTAGGTTGGAGGGGGATGGGGGCTATCTAGACAGATACTCTTTGGAACTTGAATTAGAAAATCTAGCTGAAGTCAAATTTGGGTCAATAGAAAATACTGCTCAAATTAGATGGGATGTTAGAAAATAAGAATTAGAAAAATGAGAAAATAAGCTCAAATTTAGCTTAGATCTAAAATTTTGATTGCAGTATGTTAATCGATGGGTAATTCAGTTTTAAAACTGGAGGGCCACCAGTTGGCTAGGAAGGCATTAGCCAGGAGCGTGACTTCTTGGATGTGCTGGAATGATACTTTCTGGAAGACCAGAAAGCACCAAGAACCTGACATTAGTACCAGAATGAAATTGCAAACATTCATTCACCCTCCCACCAACCCCATTCAGAGCACTGCTTTGTGCAAGACCCTGTGCCCGGGGCATGTGGACCCAAAGGTGAGGTGAGTAGGATTCTACGCTCAAAAATCTGACAGCTAGTCTGCTCGGAGCATCCGTTTCCTCATCTAACAAAGGAGGGTGATAGTTCCTGCAGTGATCTGCATAGTCATAAAATCGTTATAAATGAGAATACTGTATATACAGATACTTGGTAAGGAGACATTCCAAAAAACAGTTGAACAGTAAAGTGTTCTAAGCAATCACTTGACAAACTGTTTCTTTTTTCCCTTTTACTCATCAGTTACAGTCACTCGGTTGTAACTAGATTATTTTTCTTAAGTTCATTTGTCTGAAAGCTTTAGCTGTATCTAGTAAATCTTGCTGATAAGTGCTAGACTTACACATGCACAGATCTAATTTCCTTCCAGTCCTGGTTGTGCCCAAAGTCCACTGGGTAATTTAATTAGAAATCTCTTCCAATAAAAAATAAATAGTAAACCTATTTCCTGCTTATCTCAGTAGATAGGATTTATTGATGCACAATAAAGATCAGAACACCCAGAAGATACCAAAATAATATGAAATACTATTATGTCTGCTCAAAAAATTATCTAACTTCAGACATGAAGGTCATAATCTCTGTAACTTTGATAGGACTCAAACCTTAGAGATTCTAACATCAGTATCACCTCCCCATCCTGATTCTTAGACATCAGAGCAACTCAGCACCAGGTGGGGGGCAGGGATTAACAATACGTATCGTCCAGGAGAGGGGCAAGCAGCAGGAATGGTTACGGTGCGCACTGCAGTAGAGGCGATCACAGAGACCATTTGTTCCTTAGGGGAGAAACCCTTGCTTTGAAGGAGCCGAGAGAATCGATGGCTCAGCATCTGAGTGAATCGAAGTATGGTAAGTAGAGATGGACACAGCATGTTTACGGAACATAGAGGAAGACACCCAACAGATCCAAAAAGGGTTTCTGCAAGAGGTGGCAGCCAAATTCTGAAGGTCTAACTGGGGTTGGCTGAGAAACAGTTGAAAGAAAAGCACTGGAGACAGAATAATGTTCAAAAAAGTAAGGAGGCAAGAAACAGGTCGTTTAGAATGACTGGAGCATTTGGGGACACACGGAGAACTGGCCGGTGATGAGGCCTCTTCATGATAAGCGAGGGGGTTAGTTTGAAATCTCCAGGAAGCCGTTGATTCCAAGCAGAGAAGTGGCATGGTCAGATTTACATTTTAAGATCACTCTGGTGGCAGGGCGAATATAGATGAGAAAAGAAAAGCCTTTGGACAGGTTAGGAGGCCACCCACTTATCAACTAAATGCTAAGCACCTGCTGTGTACCCGGGGGTACTGCGGTCTCCAAAAAATAACGTGATTATACTTTCATGGAGTTCCAAGTTCCGGTCTGGTGGGGAAGTAGATGTCAAGTGGTCAGCCAAATGGTACAATTACAAAACTTAAGTGACCTACATGAGCCCTGTGAGAGGCTGTAACACGGACCGAGGCATCTCTCTGCTGGTGCAGCCCAACATTCCTCCTTTCTGGGAACAGGTTCCCAGGGGAACCATACCTCCCTCCCTCTCGGTGGTACGTTGGTGGTACGTCGTGTCACTCACATAGTCCCTGCTTCCTGAGAGCTGCGTGTCCAAGCGAGGCTGGCTGGCTGGAGCACTCTCTCATCCGGGCCCCGGTGTCTGGACTCCGGTTTGGGCCTGAGGGCTAAACAAAACCAGTCAGGAACTGCTTTGATGCTTGGAAAGAGAGGGCCTCTCATCCTTCGGATTAGGAGCCATAAGCATATGGCCTTGAGCCACTCACTGTCTTTCCTGGTAAGTATAGAGAACCAGAGAATGAATCCAGTAGCTACCCGGAAGCAGAGCTGGGTTGGGGGCAGGAGGTTTGGACCTGTGCCGAAAGCTGAAGTCACCTTTGAACTTCCAGCTACACTGAAGGGCATAAAGGAGGAGGAGGAGCATGTTCTGGGGACAAAGCACATCCCATTTTAGACAGTGAATGTGAGGAGCTTGTGGGAGAGCTAGGAGGGAATGGCTAATGGCGTCTGGAGCTCAGAAGGGAAGCCAAAGATGGAGTTAGTATTCGGGCGTCATCAGAATGCAAGTGAGACTTGACGTCATAGGTTTTGTTCTGAACTATGAGGAGAACCTCTGTGAAGGAAGACGACCAAATCCTGGGGACCATTGTCACATAAAGGAAAGAGGCAAGATGCCTACATGAATGAGAAAACCCAGGAGGAAGGGAGACCCCGTGAGCCGAAGATGCTTCAGGACACGGGTACCCCTGGTCCTTATCACATGCTCCCCACACCCAGCGCATCCGTCGCTCTACTTTATCATCTTTCCTAGGCTGCCGCCATGCTCTGCCGCCGCCTCTCACCCAGTCACTGCATCAGCGTCCTGACTGCGGCATTTGGCTCTGCAGCGATGGAGGTAAGCCCAGTCTTGTCACTTCTGCTCAAAACCCCACTGGCGCCCTCTCCTAGTTCACTGGAGCTGCCGGAATGAAGTACGAACTGTGTGGCTCAAACAACAGAAACATACCCACAGTTCAGGTCAGAAATCTGAGGTCAGGGTCAGCAGGGCCGTGCCTCCCTCTCTCCTAGGGGAGGCTCTGGTGCGTGACTTTCTCCTGGCTTCCGGCAGTTTCTTGGCATGTAGCATATGACTCGTTCACTTGGGGTTCCCCTGTGTGCCTGTCCGCTTTGGTTTCCAAATTTTTCCTTTGTAAGGACACAGCGGTATTGATGATGGCATACCCTAATGACCTCAGTTTAACTGGATTATCTCTGTAGAGATCCTCTTGAAATAAGGTCACGTTGAGGTGTTAGGAGTTAGGGATCCAACATGTGTTTTTTCAGGGGGACACAATTCAGTACTTTCCAACTCAGAGTAAAATTCTAAGTTTTTTCAAAGATTTCACAAGACCCTGTAAGATGTGTCCATTCCCTACTCTTCTTCCTCCCCTCACGCCTCCTCATCTCTGACAGCATTCCCTACTATCGTATGTCGTTTCACTCTGATCCTGACACAGGGACTCCCAGGCTCAGTACACCCAGCACATTCCACCTCAGGGCCTTTGCACGTACTTTCCCCTCTGCCTGAGCAAGTCTCCCCCGTAGATTTCTGCATGCATCTCTCCCTCATGTCCTTCAGGTCTTGGCCCAGAGGTCATCTCTGCACGGCCTTCTCTGGCACCTTTATTCAGATCATTCGAGCACGCGCTCCTTTTTGTTGCTTTACTTTTCTCCATAACACCTGATGTACCATATAATTTTCTTGTAATTTACTTTATTCACTAGACTATATGCTTCATGAACACAGGATTTATGGCTGTTTTATTCTTGAATATATCTTTGGTACCTAGAACAATAGTAGAGGCTTACTAGATATTTGTTAAACAAATAAATGCCCCAAAATGTCAAAATGATGGAGTCAGAAAAGCCTTTGCTGGATGTGGCAGTGTGGTGCTTATTGATGCCCTTGCCCAGGGCAGTTTTAGCAGCATGGTAGAGAGACGGCAGCAGCAGGGGAGGGAATTTGGGTTGAAGGAGTGAGGATGACAGTGGAGACAGTGGGCGGACTCTTTTCCCAACAGCCTGCCTTTGGAGGAAGGAGGGATAGGGGTCTGTACCTGAAGGGAGATGTAGATAGGGTGGAAAGGGACTGGTATTTCTAGATGACAGGAACTCCGATTTATTGAAAGGTGGAAGTCACTTAGGTAAGTTACTAGGCTTATGTGGGGCGTCTGGGCCCCTGGGCTACTGGGACTCCACAGCGGGCTCTCTGCACAGAGCACCTTAGAAGAGACCAGAGAGGGGAGGACCGAGAAGAGCTGGGGGGCCTGGCCCACCCTCTGAATCAGCACCGGGGCTGCAGGGAGCCTCGCAGCATCCTGCCCGCACCCACCTCCTACCTTGGGCAAGGACGGGAAATGGAGGACGAAGGTGGAGAAGAAGCCCCTCTCAGACTTGGTTCGGGACCGTGTGGCACCTCACAGCAGCTTATCACACTCGAGGGGGCCTCCTTTTTCCCTGCGTCCCCCACCCCACCCGCTGAGAAAAGAAAACCCTTTTCTCACTCTCCCTAACTTTCTGAGGAATCTCTTCCTAGTTTAGGCAAACCTGGCTGGGGAAAAGAATGAAGGTCCCTGTTTTATTGGGGCTTGGTTTTTTAAGAACTAGGAAATCTTTTCCCAGAAGATGCCCAGCCTTCCAGTGCTCCTTGGCCAGCTCTGGGCCTCATGCCCATCCCCAAACCCTCAAAGCCAGGTGCAGAAGAGAGCCCTGGACGGCTCGGTCTACCCGTGTGGGGGGTGTTAAGACCCTGGAGCAGAATGGTCTGCCCGTCTGGGGAGCGGCAGATGGCTTCTGGGTGGGCTACAGTGTGGAGGGCATGGGCAGTGATTTAGAGAGGCCATTCGAGGTGGACACGGGCTGCCTGCGCCAGGATCAGGCCCTGCGGGGGCGGCAGCCTCTCCGGCCTGTCTCTTGCTAGTTGCTGCCCCCTGGTGCAAGGATATTTCTATAGTGACCAAATGAATATACAGCCGCAACTTGGCACCAGGAAAAGTAACTAGGCGGTAAAGATTTTAAAAATGCGACAGACATTTGGATCAGCAGACATCATTCCTGAATTCCCTCTTGGTTGCATGGTTTGCTGCTTCTAGTTTTCTCACTTTTTTATTCTTCGGCCCGCTCGGCGCACTGCTTCTGCGCAGGGGCCACCGGTGCTGGTCACGCCCCCCTGCTCTGTGGCGATGAAGTGCTGTGCCCTTGGAGCCCCCGCCACTGTGCGGGCCAGGCAGGCAGGCAGAGGGCGCCCCGCGCTGGGAGGAGCCCCGAACGGGCGAGGCGCGGCCGACGGGCGGCCCCCCGGGGCGAGCGAGGAGACGCAGGCCTCGTAAATGCAGGGCAGGTGCCCCTCCATATCTCCACCCCTGTGCTCTCCGGCCGCCCCTCCTCCAGCCTCTCCATGTCCCTCCAGGGAAAAATCCAACAGAAAGAATAAAAAAGGCTTGTTTACTTCTTGAGAAGTTTGGCAACCAGCCGTAAAAACAGGAGAGAGAGAAGGTGGATTGAGTCCCCCTTCTCCTGCTGTCCCTCCCCCTACTGCGCATCCCCATCCAGCCCAGCCCCTACCCTCCCTGTCCCCTGTCCTCTGTTGTCTTCAGTCTCTCTGCTTCCTCCTCTGCAGCCCCTGCCCATGCTGGGCCTTTGCTTCATCCCCAACTTTACCACCGGATGCCCAGCTGCACTAACTGGAAACCTGGCATCCTCGTGAGAGAAAGTTCAGTTACATCAAGGTATCTCTTAACACCTGGGTGTTCACGCTGCTGCTCCTGGGCAGAAGCTGCTGTTCCCATCGCTCTCCCATCTGAGGGCTGAGAGGCGGGCTGACGCGCCCTGAGCTGCCCACTGCGCCATGCCCAATTTTTCAAAAAGCCTCTCTTTTTTTCAGACTTATATCATCGGTCTATAGCATCTTATCTCCTCTCTGAGAAATGACAGTTTTTAAAAGGTAAGCAATATATAGTGCTGGCTGTAATCAACACGACTGTTACATTTAATAAAGGTAGAGTTCATTCACAACCTTACTGAGGCCCGTGGGGGGAGCTGTGTGCTCTGATAAACTGCTCCAGAGCCCCCTCGTTTGGAGTTACCTTAACTACCTTCCCACAGCAGGGGATCAGGATCCGAGCGGGAAGGACGTTACATTTATCAGTGTATCCAGCAGTGCTGCGTGGACACATTGGGTTAGTGTCCTAAGAGAGCACGTATACATGTCCCCGTACTGTGTGTGTGTGTGTGTGTGTGTGTGTGTGTGAGGTTGGTGGGGGGGGGGCCGGACACAGGCCTCCTTAGGTGGGTGACTCATTTTCCTTTGGGGACAGAGAGGGCACATGGGACATTGTCTCATTGGTACTGACCAGAAAGTCCCCGATGGACTGCATTTCTGGGAGAGGGCGAAGTGCAATTAGGTGAGGTATGAAGCCCATTTTGGTGAGTTGGCCGAGCAGAAGTGACACCATCTGGGGCCTGTGTCTTTCTTTTTGACAATGCACATGGTTTAAAAAAAAAAAAAGCAACTCAAATATTTATTAAGATATAAAAATAGGAAAAATCTCTGCCTCTCTCCCCTATGCTGTCCCAACCCCCCTTTATTCTCCAGTCCAGCATAACCACTGTTAATACTTGGGTGCCTGATGGCTTTTTTTTTTTTTTTTGAGAGGGTATCTCTCATATTTATTGATCAAATGGTTGTTAACAACAATAAAATTCTGTATAGGGGAGTCAATGCTCAATGCACAATCATTAATCCATCTCAAGCCTAATTCTCATCAGTCTCCAATCTTCTGAAGCATAACAAAAAAGTTCTTACATGGTGAACAAATTCTTACATAGTGAATAAGTTCTTACATGGTGAACAGTGCAAGGGCAGTCATATCACAGAAACTTTCAGTTTTGATCACGCATCATGAACTATAAACAATCAGGTCAAATATGAATATTTGTTTGATTTTTATACTTGATTTATATGTGGATCCCACATTTCTCCCTTTATTATTATTATTATTTTTATTTTTAATTAATAAAATGCTGAAGTGGTAGGTAGATGCAAGATAAAGGTAGAAAACATAGTTTAGTGTTGTAAGAGAGCAATTGTAGAAGATCAGGTGTGTGCCTGTAGATTATGTGTTAATCCAAGCTAGACAAGGGCATTAAAACATCCACGGATGCAGAAGATTTCTCTCAAAACAGGGGGGATGAGGTTCTAAGCTTCACCACTGTTGATCCCCAATTTCTCACCTGATGGCCCCCCTGCGACTGTGCCTGTCTTAGGTTGTTCCTCCCTTGAGGAATCTTAGCCGTCTCTGGCTAACCAGTCGTCTTCCGGGGCCATACAGGGAGATGTAAAGTCGGTAAGTGAGAGAGAAGCCATATTGTTTGAAAAGGTTAGCTTTTTACTTCTTTGCAGATTTTTGCCCTGTGGCTTCTATGCCCAGCATTTGTCTTGAGGTCCTGATGGCTAATTTTATGTGTCAGTTTGGCTAGGCTGCCCCTTGTTGGGTCAGACCCCACCCTATGGCATTGCTAGGCAGGTGGTGTTTGAATGTGATAAACACGGGCACTCGGTAGGCTTTGAGTAAAGCAGGTGGTTCTCCACAATGTCCCCGGAGCCTCGTCCAAGCAGTTGAAGGCCTTAAAAGCAAACACTGAGGTTCCCCAAATAAGGCGGAAGTTTCCTCAAGGCCACCACATAAAAAACCAAGTTTCTAGCTTGCTGCTCTGTGGCATTTGGACTCAAGAGTGCCACATCACCTCTCCCCTGGATTCCCAGTCTGCCAGCTGCCCCGAGGACTTCAGGCTTGCCAGTCCCCACAATCCCATAAGCCAGTCCCTTAAAATCTCTCTCTCACACTCGTGCTCTGTGCCTATGTAAATTCATTTGATTGATTCTGTTTCTCCGAAGGGCCCTGACTGAGAGACTCTCTGTGGTGGAGATGGGTAGCTGTCCCCCCAAATCCCTACTTCGCTCTCCTAGTTAGCTGACTATGACTTGCCCTTCAGTGCGCGACTAAGTGCCCACCACTGTTACGGGAAGAGAAGTGATACAAGTCACTTCCATGCCTGACCCATTACACTCTCTTGCTCTTTTTCTTCTCTGGTTGACTGCCAGGGTGACCCTGAGAACATCCCTGGGAACCACGTGTTGATGGCAGCATCCTGGGCCCTTCAGGAACTCGAAGAAGCCCCTCCTCCCTGCCTCTGGCCCGCCAGATCTTGAACATCCTCACCTAGATGCTGCCGCCTTTGCCTTCTTAGGTAAGTTGTAAATAATTTCTATTGTGTTCAAGCTATTACATTTGGATTTGTTTAACAAACTAGCTTAGCATACCCTGACTAATACAGAAATCGGTACCCAGAAGCAGAGTGCTAATTAAAACGAACACCTAAAATAAAGGTATTGGCTTAGCGGATGCACAGCAGGAGGAGACCCGAGAAGTCACTGGCTGAAAAGGTGGCATCTCCTCCTCTGTCCTGGCGAACATTTGGTAGAACTGTTGCTGTGGTAACTTGTAGAGGCCAACAGGCTCCCTGCTGTGCCAGTACTTCCTGGGAAGGTGGCTGGAATGAGCCAGGTCAGAGTTGCCTGCTGCTTTCTGCTTTTAGCTAGATATTACTAGAAAGAGATGAGCTCAGACCAGAATGTACTGGTTTACTCGCAGAAGAGGGGAAAAAGAATCCAGAAAACTGGGACCTTGTAGATACTGAAAGCCAACTGATTCAGTAGCATGAATAGCAAGACACAAGGCTTCTTGCTCAGAGGCCTCTCATCAGGGCTTCTGTCGGGCAAAGATCTCATCTCCATCTTGCCCAGTTGTTTCAGATGGTTTCAAGGCAACTGCCACTAAATTGAGAAAGAGAAGCTAAGCAGCAAGGAAGCCCAGTAATGAAACAGACTAAGGACTCTGTCTAGCAAAGAACACTGGGTGTGGCCTCTGGCACATGGAACTGGATTGAAGCAACTTAGATGCCTTGTTAAGTTCTTGGAGTGAAAATATTCCTGAAGAAACCATAGGAAGCCTGGCATAAAAAAGCCTTTGTTAAAAATAAAACAAATCTTGGGCTCCAAACCTCCAGATATAAGGCTGCAAAAGGTGAATAGTCCTCAAAGAGAGTACACTTCTTAGCACTTACTTTAGAATTTCTATTTATCACAGGTTTTTAGTATTTTGATTAGGATGTATTTTGGTGTGGTTTTTGTAATGCTTCTGTTTGAAGTTGATTGAACTTCTTGGATTGGTAAATTTATGGTTTTCATGAAATTTGGGAAAATGTTGACCATTATTTCTTCAAGGAGTTTTCCTTTCCACCGCCCAGTCCCCCTCTTCTGAGATTCCAGTTACGTAGGGGATGTTAGGGTGTCAGAGATTGCCCCACAGCCCACTCTGCTTTGCTCTTCGTGTTTCCCAGTCTGTTTTCTCTGACCAAATTTCTGTTCATTTGCTCATTCGACAGATATTCATTAAGGATCTAATCCTGGTCTCAGGGTGCCTGGATCAGGAAACCTGTTACATCTTGAGGGAGAAAATTATACTCTGTATGAAGACCGTGTGGATACTCAAGGCTCAAAATGGGATTCCATCTGTAAACTATTTTAAGAGAAAGTCTCTGAAAATATGGGCAGGGGACAGGATTCTGACTTTTTGCTTTCTACCATTCTGTGTGGATGGTTTTCTGGTCCTTCCTGAAGGAGTTACAAGAGTAATAGACATATTACTGGGCCCAGCAAGTGTGCATGTGTGTGTGAAGTTGTTCTAGAAGATGGATTAAGAGCTGGGTACCCCCTAAAGGCACTCTGAAGGACGCATCCAAGCATCCAGTACCACAACTGATAAACCTAAACCAAAGCGACAGCCTGGCAGCTGGATGACTTGGGGCAAGGTGGAGCGAAGGGCTCCCGCTGGTTCTCAGGGGCTCCTGTTGGGAGGCCTGGAGCTGGGAGGAGACGGTCCCATTTCCTTTCTTCATCACCTCCAGTTCTCAGGGGAAGGAAATGTGGATATGCCGGGAGCCTTAAGCAAAGTGTGAGCCAGGCGTTGCTCCTCAGCGTCTCCTCCTTTACGATGATCCTGCTCCTTCTTTCTGTCTTCCCACCCGTGCCTCCACCTCCCTGCTCTGGCAGGCGCTCTCCGAGGGTGTGCCCCTCTTTTGGCCTTCCTTCTGCTCCCTGTGGCCCTCCTGTCTCTCTGAATTCTCATCCTGAACGTTTACAGGTGGCCACCGTGCTCTATGGCTTCTCAGCTGCATTGGGACTATTGCCAACACACTCTGCCTGGGAAACTGACATGTCCTTTATATCCTCTCCCCAGGGCCAGGTTTCTGGGTTTCGAAATCCCCCTTATCTTTGATAAACAACCACTGAAATAAGAGTGAATTTTGATGGCAACCTTCCTGGGGACAACATCTGACCCTGGGGTAGTAACAGGTTTGCTTTGAATTTGCACAGAGCTGGACTCCAATCCCAGCCCCTCTCTGGGGGAGCCCTGAAACGTTTCTGAAATAATTTACGCTTCTGCACCAAGGATGATAAAACTGATCTTGCAGAATTTCCACTGAGATATTTATGAAAGTGCCACGTACTCGTTCCTAGCTCATTCCTTTTCTTTCACAAGGTTATTAATGAGCTCTAAGTGAGAAAATAAGTGTGAAGGGGCTTTGCAATCTATAAGCTCTCACTACATGGTAGGTTTTGTTAATAGTCATATAGTAATACCACTGATAGTAGAAGTACAGATGGGAGGAGGAACAGCTAGATATTTTGGAGGTTTGTCATTTTTATAATCTATGAATTATATCAACAGACATCATGACCACATTTCTAAAACAAACATCAGGAATCATGATTTGACAAGTCAAAATGCATTTGTTGGGACACAATTATGAATAGGAATTGATCCCCTGGCCCAAATTCGAAATATACGGTCTCTGTACACATAAATGACCTCCTTGCTTCTCTCTTGAGGACTGACCTACAAATCTCTGTAGCACTGGGAAGAAATCAGAGTGCTGGGAAAATGGACCAGTAGTTTATTTCTACTCTATACCTGAAAATCACCATCCCTAATGGGCTGGTTGGTAAAGGAAAGAACACTGAGAAAAGACTGTAGCCCCTGGAAGAGAAACAAGCCTGCAGGAGCTAATGGAATGTCCCGATTGCCAATTAATTTCCGTTCCCAAAGCCCCTGCTGCAGAGGCATGGGAATCCAGTCAGAGGGAACAAGCTGCCTTTGTGTAAGTCAGTCTCCTTAGCTGACGTCCGGGACCTTGGGGGCGCCAGGCCATACTGAGGCTTCCCTAGCAACTTTTCCTGAGGCCTTTGCTTTACCCGGACCTTAGGCTTCAGCTCGTGCCACCGTTTGTCATTAATGGGATTCACACAGCTCTTGTAGAATTTAAAAAGCAGTTTCACATCACAATATCGGGTCTCCTTGGTAGTTCTTCCCTGGGTCTCTACAATCACCGTTTTAAAGTATTACTATACAGATGAAGAAATGGTGGTTTAACAGTGGAGTAACCCCCCAAAATAACATTCCAGGAACGCCAGTCCTCCGCCCTCTTTAGGCGGTGGGATCAGTGTGGGCTTCTAGGACGATGACGCGCAGACACGTGTCCGAAAACTCCAGTAAAGTGCAAAGCAAATATTGATCTGGAAGGAGGACCTCCTCCCGGATCCTGCTCCGCTGACAGAGGTTGTGCGTCCGTGCCCGCGTGGGGTTGTGCCGCGCTTCCGGCTAAGCTAGGGCCTGGCTTGCCCCGCGGCGGGGCCGAGCGCTGCCCCCGGAACTCTCCCAGGCCCCACCCTCCCGAAGGCCCCGCCCCACCTGGAGGCCTCGCGTCCGGGTCCCGCGACGCCCCGCCCCCCAGTGCCCTTCTCCCTCCCCCTCGGTCCGCCCTCCCGCGGCCCCGCCTCCAGGCCCATTTCTCCCCTTGACCCGCCCCTCGGCCCCGCCCTCCAGGCGCCCCGCCCCGCGGCGCTTGCCCCTCGCGGCTCCGCCCCCATGTCTCGGCTCGCGGGCTTGGCGGCGCTCGGCCCGGTGCTCCGCACTCTTCGGCCTGGTTCTGCCGCCGCCATGAGCACGGGCACTTTCGTCGTGTCTCAGTCGCTTAATTACCGCGGCGGGGCCCGCGTGGAACCGGCGGACTCCTCCGGCACCGAGAAGGCGTTCGAGCCGGCCACGGGTAACGGGCCGGGGCGGGGCCGGGGGCGCTCGTGTCCTCCGCCCCTCGCCGGAGCTACGGCGGGGGAGCCGGGATACGGGCGGGCGCGGGGCGCTCACACCTGTGCGCACCCGGAGCCGCGGCGCAGGCACGCGGAGGGCGCGCGGACAGCTGGAGCGCCGGGCTGCGTGGAGGGGCCCGGGTGGTGTCAGGCCCAAAGGGCAGCTCGGAGCCGGATGCGGAGGTCTCGCCGCCGGGGAGGCTTGACTGCCAGCTGCGCGCTGTGCTGTCTCCGGAGGCGCGCGGGTGCTTCTGATGAGCGCGAGGGAGCGCCTCGTTGCGGTCCCTTCGTGTTATTTCTGTACTTGAATCAGAATTGGCACTCACCCAGGGTTTGATGAGATGCCAGGCGTTGTGCTAGGCCGTGGACTTGCCCTGGTAACTCTGAAGATCGCGAGCTAACGAGGAAGACATTTTGGGTTGATTTTGTGTTTGTTTTGCGGGATTTTGTGTAATATTTGTGGGGGGAAAAACTAACTGTTCTGTACAAACCAGAATGCCTTGTAGCCACCGCAGTGAAACTGGATTTTCGAGAGACTGGAGAATTTAGAACTGACCGGTCACACTAAACCACAGAGCAACTTGTCAGAGCTGGAAGGGGACAGAGATGATCAGAGGCCTTTCAGAGGAAACACCTCTCTGCCCCCACCCCAGATTGATACAAAAGGGAAAAATTGATCTTTAATTACCTACAGTGTGTGGGATCATTAGCCACTGTCTTTACCAACTGACTATTCAGGTTTGTAGTGGAAACTGCCTGAAATCTCTGGAAAAAAACAGGAGTCCCAGAGTTCACGTGTGGGGCAACAAGATCCGCTGGCTTGACATGCTTAAAGAATTCGTGGTACAGTCACAACTCTTGAGATACACGTCTAGCAAAACTGAGCATTTCTTACTTATCACCCCCAGAATAAGGGTAGCAAATAAGACTGGAGTAAGAAGAGACTGGATTTTTTTTATATTTGAGAAAATACTTTTCAGATCTTTTCTTGATATTGCTGTTTATTAACCATATTTATCAACTATCAGTAGTATGATTTCACATACATAGAACATAGACCAGTGGTTTAAAATCAGAGTTCATAACTCAGGAAACTGCGTACTTTGAACTTCGGTTTTGCTGTACCCCTGAGATTCTCAGACATTGTTAAGGAGTGTTGCAAAATAATTGGTAGTTAATATTAGTAAAGCTAACTAGACATAGAGAGGCAGGGGTTCATAACATGAAGGTCATGGTGTGCTTTGGGCAAAGGACAGGATCTCTCTAATTGTGTGATACAGTTAAGCACATTTTCCTGGAGAGAAGTCTGCAACTTGAATTAGATTCTTAAAGGGATCAGTGACTCCAAAATACAGTTAGTAACTGCTGGGATAAGGGTGGTCACTAAATCAAAGGGGATCGTGAAAAGGAAATTTAAATGCACAATACCTTATTTAAATGTGTGACACTAGTTTGAGATACCACTGACTTTCCTTGTCTTTATAGGCAGAGTGATAGCTACTTTCACGTGTTCAGGAGAAAAAGAAGTAAATTTGGCTGTTCAAGATGCAAAGGCTGCCTTTAAAATATGGAGTAAAAAATCTGGCATGGAGCGTGGTCGAATCCTTTTGGAGGCTGCCAGGATAATAAGGGTATGCTTTAATTTATTCCTTTCGGGAAAAGTGCTCTTGCATTGCTCTGAGGGTTCTTTGTGACGATTTGCAGCTGGAGTTTGATGCACTATTCGGTTATATCTTTTTTATGAAATTGAAAAATATTTCTGTATGCTCATGTTGACATATGAAACAAGCTTTCGTCTGTGATCCCCTTTTGGACCTTGGTTTTGTGGCATCGCTCTTGACGGGTCTTCTTTTCTATCTTCATTTGAGTTAAATGGATCCTGTGTAGCGGTCTCCATTTTTTTTTTTCTTTTTTAAACTTGTTTCCTTCCTGCATTTTTCCTCTTGATGACTCTTCTAAGTCTACTTTTCTTTTTTAGCTTTATTTTCTACTTGAATTGCCTGGTAAGATTTCATAGAGTCATAGATGTTCCCCTCTTTAAAAAAAAATTAAGTTTTTTACAGTGTTAAAGAGCAAAAATAGTCAATGCTCATTACTGAAAATTAGAAGACGCAGAGAATACACACCCGAATATGAATCGTGAATATGTCTCTGGATTTCTCTCTGGCAGGACTGTGGTGATTATATCTCAGAAGAGTGTTAAGTCAGAGGCTGTACGGTCTGAGAGTTCCCCTATTTGCAGGGGTATGTGCGTGCTCCCACAGGAGACACGAGGCTCTCTGGATTTGAGCAAGAGATGGTGTATGACTCCCAGCAAAATGCAGCAGCCGGCTCAGTACCTCGGCACTAGTTTTCTGTACCCCATTCCCCACGGGGTGACGCAGTGAGAGCCAGTTATCCTGTTGCCTGCAGTGGATCTCAGCACAGGGGAGGAACCTGAAAATGGGGATCCCTGCTTCTGTAAGGAGTGTGGGCACATCTGCCATTCTCCCTCTGCAGAAGAAGATTGCTCAACCCTGCAAAGACTCCTCCAGGGTTGAGGAGGGAGGTGTCACTTGGTTCATTACCCTGGGACTTACTAAGCACAGGTCTCCAGGGACAGGAGGTAGGAACCTTCATGGCTCTACTTCTCTCCAGAGACCTCTGTGTTCAGGAAGACACTCTGCCCTCCAAGGGCTTTGCATTTCGCTCAGAAAGCCCACACCCCACAGAAATGTCAAAACACTCATGGAGAATTTTCTCCCAACAAAATATTTCCAAAAGTGAAAACTCAAAGCTCGTAATTTATTATTTTAATATATCACTTTGTCCTAGTGTATAAGCATTTAGGGTAGATATGTCATCTTAAGAATCGTCCCCTTTATCATTATGAAATTAACCTTTTTTATCTTGAATCATATCTCATAATATTTTTTCACTCTGAAATGCACTCTGATAATAATTTTCTTTTCCTTTTAACCCATGCCCCGTTCCCTTTCATATTTATGTGTTATTGTATTAGTCAAAAATATATTACTACCTTCATGCCCTTTGCCTGCCTTTATCTGAAATTATTTCATAACTGAACAAATCTCATCTGACCCCAGCCTTCACTCATGGCCCTCAGTGATTCTTTTTAGGATTTTTCTTGTTACTCAAGAACTGCAGTTTTTTTGCCCTTTCATTTTATACTACATGCAGTTATCTTTTTAAAGAATTTTAGAATAAGGTAGAAATATTCCATATTTAGCCACATTTTTTTTTAAACCATTACTCATGTTGTTCATTCCTTTGTATAGGTCCACCTTTCTATCTGGTATCATTTTTTTTCTGCTAAAAGAAACCTTTTAGCGTCTGTAATAGTGCAAGTTTGCTGGTGAGGTTCTTTCAGCATTTGTGTGAAAAGAATTTTACTTTCAGTTTTGAAAGAATTAGAGGTATATAATTCTAGGCTGACTTTTTCTCTCCCAGTATGTTCGTTGCAGCACTGTCTCCTGGTTGTGTTGTTTCAGAAGAGAAGTCTGCTGCCATTCTTACTGTTTGTTCCCTTGTATGTGAGGCATTTCTTCCTCCTCCAGCTGCTTCACGATTTTTCTCAGCCCTGGTTTTAAGCAGTTTCATTGTGGTATCTTTTAAGGCAGTTTTCTTCATATTTGTTTTGCTTGGGGTTTATTGATCTTCCTGAATCTGCAAATGTATGGTTCCATTAAATTTGGGAAAATGTTGACCATTGTTTCTTCAGGTGTTTTCTCTGCGCCCTGGTCTGTCTTCTCTAGGCCTCTAATGACACGCGCGCTGCGGTGCTTGAGCCCTCCTGTGGCTTACTGATGCTCTGTTCATTTTCTCCCCAGTTTTTTTCCTCTGTGTGCTTTATTTTGGATAATTTCCATTGTTAGGCCTCAGGTTCACCAAACTCTTTTCCGTAGTCTCATCTGCTGTTAACCCATCCAGGGCGGTTTTCATCTCCAGGAGTTCAGCTTGGTTCTTTTGGTTTCTCAGTGTATCGTCCACGTCTCTCCCTCACGTGGTCTGGTTTTCCTCTGTCTTCTTCAAAATACAGTTATCATAACACTTAATATCTTTGTCAACCAATTCTATTTCTGTCATTTCTGGATCTGTTTCTGTTGATTGGTTTTTCCTCCTGATGAAGTGTCATATAATTTTCCTCCTTTTTGCATGCCTGGGAATCTTTTAGCACTGGACATTGTGAATTTTATGTGTTGGATACTGAACATTTTTATACTTTAAAAAATATTCTTGAGCTGCTTCTGGGACACAGTGAAGTCACTTCGAATCTGTTTGATCTCGTGAGGCTTGCTTTTATGCTTTGTTAGGGCAGCAGCGCAACTAAGTCTGCCGGTTACTTAACCTGACGCTCTGTGTCCTGGTGAGGTTTTCCTCACTGGGCTGGGGGGCACATGAACTGCTTCTGCCCCATGGGAGTTCTGGGGACTTTTTTTGCCTTCTCTTCTCTTTGGTTCTGTCCTTGGTCTGGGTGCTGTCCTGCCCGAGCAGTACTCGGACGCCTGGGGTTCTGGCCCTGCAGCTCTCCTCCCTCCCACCCAGCCTTGCAGACTGTAGCCCTCATACACTCCTGTCTCCTCCACTCACAGTATCTGTGGGGCCCCACGGAGCCCCCCGCCCCCCGTGAATGCCCCCCAACAGTGGGCTGCAGCGGCCGCGGGGCTCCTCTTGTTTGCTGCCCCCTCAGGGACCACTGTCCTGAGCCACCCGACGCCCAGTGTCTGAAAATTGTTGTTTCGTGGATATTATCTGGTGTTTCATTTGCTTAAGAGAGGGTAGATCTGGTCCCTGTTACTCCACCTTAGCTGGAAGCCTGCTGATTCCCAGGGAAAACGAACATGCTTTCTGTATGTTTTGTAGTCTGATGCTCTCCTTTTTCCCTTGAATCCTTTGTTGCTTTTACCAGATTATAAGGTCTTCTTGGGTGGCTCCGGTCATTGCTCAGTGGGAGTATCCTTACGAAAGCCGCTGTCCTTTGGCTTATAAGGAGAGAGAAATGTAATTTAAAGCTAGGGTAAAACTATTTAAATAAAGAACACACTGTACCTGGAGGTTACCCCGTGCCGTCAGCCTGCCCAGCTCAGTGGGTCCCCTGCACTGCTGCCGGAGTGACCTTCTGGACGTGTACGTTAGGTCAGGGCGCTCCGTCCCTCTCTCCTTCCTTCCTTCTTCCCTCCCTCTCTGCCTTTCTTCCTTTCTGAAATCGCCGTCTGTTGTGTTGGGTGTGAACCTTAGACTGTAATTGATAACCTTCCAAGTTTGTTGAAACTTAGCATTGCTCTGCTGGGACAATTCCTGTCGCCTCCAGTTAGCACCCCTCACCCCCCAGGGAGAAGGGGAAGGCGGGTGGCCTAGGAGCACAGTGTATAGAAGCTGCTGAACGGGCGGGAGAGCAGAGTGAGGGATGCCAGAACGGGGTGTGAGGCCATTAAAGGGGAAACAAAGGCCCGTGTGTTGCCTGTAAGCAGGTAAAGGCCGCGTTCAGTTAGCGGCTGAGTTAGAACGGGTTAGCTTTTAAGAACAATTTGTAGGACATGCAGGGTGCTTTCCATACACAATTTTATTTAAATATCAGAAAAAATCTTGAAATGTAGCTGCTATTTGACTTGAAGGACAAATGAGGAAACGAACGGACTTGGGAATGTGACACGGCTGGTCTAAGGTCGTATCACTAGTGAGCGTGAGTGTAGGAGCCTCACAGCCGGCGACCTCTTTCCTCACCTCTGCCTCGTGAAGCTCAGGGCTTGCGAGGACTTCAGTGGGTGGCCTTTGCTCACACGGCTGTCTTAGGAAAGCCAGACGCTGGGACCTGCTGGGGACGATGAAGCGAAGGAGAGGCGAGGCGCCTGCCCTTTGCTGCTTGGTCCCCGTGTGGACACCTGGTCAAGTGAGAGGCGGGGTGGCGTGGAGGAGGACAGGGCCAGGTCCAAAGCGTGCTTGTCCCCAGAGGTGCTCGTTGCAGTAGCTGTTGTGCCAGGCGACTTGATGTAGGGATTCTCTTGGCAGCAGTAGGGGCTGTCTTCCCCTCCTCCCGCTGCCTCCTCCTCCAGGAAGGCAAGATCCCATCTCCTAAAGAGTATTAGCTCTCAGGATGGACTCCTTGGTCGCTTGTCATCAGGGGAGTGTTTTGATGATCCTTGTATGGTGTAACAAAAGGTCTCAAAATGATCTTTGAGAAATAGCCTTTTTTGTGAGGGTAGAGAATGATGGAATAAGACAGGAGGCATCTCAAAAGGCCAGCCAGTGAATTGAATTTCTGCCAGAAGTTGAAACCTTGTAACAGTCCTGAAAACTAATTGTCTCTATTTACAAAAAAGAAAACCTCAAGAGACTAAAACTTCATATTCTTAGTAACCATTCCAAGGCTTTGCAGTGATCATGAGCAGTTACTTCCTATCTGTGCTCTCTCTGCTAACTTGGAAGCCAACAGCATTGGACTTTGCCAGTTTAATGCTTTATTGTGTATTTGAAATGTAATGTGCTGATTCATGCATTTGTCCATGCTGCTTGTGAGCAGGTCCTTACTTTTTAGGACCTTGGTTCCCTCTTGCACTCTAGAAATGAAGGGCAAACCACCTAACAGTCCGTCACACCTTTGGTAAATTGTTTCATGTTAATCGTACTCAACAAATCCACAAATGGGGGTGAATTTATACCTGGTTCAGAAGTTAGGCTTGTTCTGGTTACCCTCTTTCCAGCAGTGTAACTGGGAGGACTAGGGAATAATTGTTAAGAGGTAGTTTTGGTGAGGATGGAATCAGGGAAGGAGAAGGTGAATTGTTGGTTCAAAAGGCATTTAATTTAGACCATGTTTGAATGTGAACAAATTATCTTCTGAAGGAATATTTCTATTCAGTAATTTATTTAGAACTTACAAATAAGCTCCTTGAAGGCAGACAATGGATCTATACTCTTTTCATAGTAATGAATGTGGAATGAATGAATCAAAACACTTTGTACCTGTGGTCTTTGTAGAAATACAACATGTCCAAATCACACTGTCAGACTCATTCCTGTGTTTCTTATTGGTCGTTATATCCCTGCTCCCATCTTTTCTGACATTTGTTCTGTAAATAGATGCTTGTGTTAATTCGTTTCATTTTGCTACTGGTCAGCCTCGTGCTCATCAGTTTCAGTAAGAATGCTGCATCTTGTCAGTTTGATTGGTCTTCTGTGTATGTTCAGATACTCACTCTGTTGTTTATTTTAAATTGGATCCATAATAGGAAATATCTAGTAATTTAATTTTTTCATCTTTGGGACAAAAAATTATTTAGCTTTTCTTTTTAAGTATAATTCCCCAAACCTTTCTGTTCATCTGTGACCATTTCTTGCATCTCTAAGTTGTATAGGCTACAACAGAAAACAGTATTTAAGAAGAGAATTGATTAGTATAGAGCATTAGAAAATAATGATCTTATGATTTTAACATGCCGCATTTCTCTGGGTGAATTAAAGCCATGCATTAAATGCCAGTTGTGGGGCTATTTTATATAATTTCCCTAAGGAGAATTTTCTCTTACTGTATACATGCAGATGTACATGTACACACACACACACACACACACACACACACATTTATACATGTATACATTGTAACACTCACTCCTCAGAACATTCCTTTCCTAACTGACCTTGAAATGAGGAATTAGTGTTTAAACCCATGACAGTTAACTGGAGGGGAGAGTAGGACTTTAGATGAGCAGCCAGGTTTTATCTGTAACAGTGTAACATTCCTTTTGTAACAGTGTCATTCCTTTTATATCCGTTTAAAGTGTCACTTGTTTCTGTTTTTAAAAATTGGGCAGTGTGTTCTGTTTGTTGAGTATGTTGGGGTACGTGGTGACCTGTCCGGGATCCCGTCTTCTCTTTCACCCAAAGGAGCGGAGGGATGAACTCGCCGTCATAGAGACCATCAACAACGGCAAGTCCATCTTTGAGGCCCGCTTGGACATTGACTCCTCCTGGCAGTGCCTGGAGTACCACGCAGGCTTGGCTGGGTCCATGGCTGGTAAGCCCGTGCCTGGCCGTTTGTGACCAGCTAACGGGGGCCAAGGAGCGGGTCCTAGTGGGGAAGAGGAAAGGTTCGGGGATTAAGAAGGGCCTGGGTTCTGGGTTTATCGCTCTGCTTGGGTGACCCTGAGGATTACTTTATCTTCCCTGTTTAAACTGGAGATAATGGTTCTTATTCTCCTGAGTTGTTATAAGGATTAGATGAGATAATATAAATAAAGCACCTAGAACCATATCTGGGCCTTAGGCCAACTTGTTGAAAAAACAGTTCTTGCCAGAGTCACTGAGCGTTTCACATTTATTAGTTTTATTTACCTATTTAGCAAAAAAATTTTCTTGGACTATTTATGAAGTTTATGCCAGTTTATGTTGGATGGCTTGGCAGGGCCCAGGAGGGCTGTGGGGAGCCGGAAGTCCGAGGCTGGGGTCCTCAGGCCCTTCCCCTGCTGCTGCGTCTCGATCCCTCATCTCCATTTCATTTCATCTAACTCTTCTGTTAGATGCTTTAATTTTTAGAGAATTAGATTGTAGATTTTTAAAGAATTACATTAATCTGAATGAACATGGGTCTAAAGTGTAGACAGGATGGCTTGTGTGGAGGGATATGCGGCCGTGGCGTGTGAACGGCCAGTGACCCGGGCACGGGGAGGGCGCTGGGCGTGCTGGGAGCCGCGGGAGGCCGGACCGGCTGCCCTGGGTGCGGGTGCTGGGGATCTCGCGCAGAGCGTGCTGCGTTCTCCCCTCCTCATCTGTTCTCCCCTTAGGCGAACACATCCAGCTCCCAGGCGGATCCTTCGGTTATACCAGAAGGGAGCCCCTTGGCGTCTGCGTGGGCATAGGAGCATGGAACTACCCCTTTCAGATCGCCTGCTGGAAGTCCGCGCCGGCTTTGGCGTGTGGTGAGAATGACTGGGGCCTCCGCTTGAGAGCCCTTCTGTCTCCCCGCCGTCCCCCCCCCCGCCCCCCGTGTCTGTGTACACACACACACGCACGTGCGCGCCACGTCAGAGGGTTGTGCAGGCTGTGCAGGCAGATTGTGTCTGTTTTATTCCCATTTTTATTTATTTTTCATTCTATAATGGAAGAAACAATTTTGGTCACACACAGAGGTCTTATTTTTACTGCCATATTGAATTAGATTTCTGCTACTTGGAGGTCCTGTCCCTCCCTGGACAAGAACTGTGGGCAGGAATCCCTGTGTGGGGAGCGGCACTAAGGACTCCATCCCGGCAGCAGAAGATAAACTTCCTTCTTCAGTCGCACCTTAAGAGAGGGACAAACAAGGCTTCCTTCCGTCAGAGTGACTGGCTGCTTGACTTAAGTTTTCACTTACTATTGAAGGAGAAGAATCTGGGGAAAAGAAGACTTGGTCTATCTTAGGAAAAAAACACACAGTTAAAAAAAGCGTTACTTGTAGTATTTGTATTAAAAAACAGTTCTTGCCGGAGTCACTGAGCGTTTCACATTTATTAGTTTTATTTACCTATTCAGCAAAAAAAATTTTCTTGGACTATTTATGAAGTTTACGCCACTTTATGTTGGATGGCTTGGCAGGGCCCAGGAGGGCTGTGGGGAGCCCGAAGTCCGAGGCTGGGGTCCTCAGGCCCTTCCCCTGATGTGCGTCTCGATCCCTCATCTCCATTTCATTTCATGTAACTCTTCTGTTAGATGCTTTAATTTTTAGAGAATCAGATTGTAGATGTTTAAAGAATTACATCAAGCTGAATGAACACGGGCCTGAAGTGCAAGCGAGATGGCTTGTGCCTACTTTGTGTTCCTTTCGCCGTTCCTGCGTGGGAGGCCCTGTGATAGAGGAGAAACAGGACTGCGCCGTGCACCAGCTCTGGGGATTCTCTTCGAGTAATTAGCCTGGCCTTCAGTTTCAGTTTTAAAAAAATGGGACTAATCACACCTCATTCATGTCAGCGTTGCAAGTGTTACATGAGATAGTAAGTGTGCAAAGCCTAGAAAGGCAGGTACTACTAGTTGAGTTTGTTTAATGAAAAAAACCCTGGTGGGAAGAACAAGATGTGTTTACTTATGAGTAACATTTCTGGCCCTGGAGTTGGTGAGGAAACAGGACGCAGTTGCGGCTCTTCTCGGCTCCCCCTCTCGTCTGTCCTCAGAGGGCGGCCGGTCTTGCAGTCTGTCTGTCTTGGTCGTGCAGGTAACGCCATGGTCTTCAAGCCGTCTCCCTTCACGCCCGTGTCTGCTGTGCTGCTGGCGGAGATCTACATGGAGGCCGGCGTGCCGCCTGGGCTCTTCAACGTGGTGCAGGGGGGCGCTGCCACTGGCCAGGGCCTGTGTCAGCACCACGACGTGGCCAAAGTCTCCTTCACTGGCAGCGTGCCCACTGGCAGGAAGGTGAACATGCAGCCGGGCGGGTTCATGTGAACAGCATCTAGAGGCGGCAGCTCAGGCCTGCCCAGAGTAGGCGTGGGAGGTCAACCTCCTGAGCTGATGCCGCCTTTACCACGCACGGGGGGTTGTAGTACTATGGGCAAAGGTCAGGAGTGTGCAGGAGGCAGGGAGCCACTGAGGCGGCGGGCACAGCAGGTGGGTGGCAGGCCCGGTGTGGGGCAAAGACATTGTCACTCCCTGCGTGTGGGTGTGCTAGCCCCAGTGGCCACTATGCTCTTTGCGTCTTCACTCATCTGACGCTGACCTGCGCTCTGAGCTCCTTGGCCTCAGCACAGTAGCTGTGGTACAGAAGTGAGTTACCTGTTCCCAGTGTCCAGTGCAGCTCTGCCGACTGCCCTCAGAGCTCTAGGAGAGAACTGCCCATAGGCGAAGGGCAGAGTTAGGGGCAGCAGGCCGCCGGTCATACGTACAGTCATATAAGGGCGACTTGTATAGTCATACAAGGCTCAGGGTCTAGCTGACCTCGCAGGCGGTCTCGTGTGCCAGACTTCTGAACGTTCGTGTTTTTCTGTAAGATCATGGAGATGGCGGCCAAAGGAATCAAGCCTGTCACCTTGGAGCTGGGAGGCAAATCTCCGCTGGTCATCTTCTCAGACTGCGACCTGGGGAACGCCGTGAAGGGGGCGCTGATGGCCAACTTCCTCACACAGGGCGAGGTGGGTGCCCGGGTGCATCCAACAGCTCTAAAGCTTCTTGCTGAGAAGTAATGTCAGGAATCCCGGGCCCTTGAGCCGTGTTCCTCACATGTTAACATTGTCGCCTTTATCAGTGTTTGTCTGTGTGCACATGCATGTTACTAAGCCTCTTCTGAACTGTGTGAAAGTTGCAGACGTAGACCCCTAACCTGTGCGCGGCTGTGTGTTCCCCAAGAGCAAGTGTCTTTTCTTGCACAGACACAGTGCACTCCGTGGAAACAGGAGCTTGATGTACTGTTTGCAGTCTAAGCCCTTCTTCAGTATTCGACGTTTGTTTGACTCATTCCCTTCTAGCAAAAAAAAAAAACAACCCCACAGCTTTTCCTGTTTGGGGCTCTGGTCCGGGGAGGTGTGCTGCCTTCCACTGTCATGCCAGTTTTCTGTTCTGATAGCATTTGAATAGTATTTATGTTCATGTCTGTGGGAGGGTCTAAATAGTCATAATTAGTGGTTTTGGAGACAGTGACTGTGACATGCTCCGAGTTTGCACTACGCTCAAGCCCTCAGTTCTTCATCTATTTTTACTCTTCAGCCCCTCCCACTGCGTCCTTTTAACACAACCAGCGTGCGCAGCTGATACGAGGAAGGAGAAGTCCTGTGGGTCTCTGGATCTACTAATGGCCTTAAGAAAATGTAAACAAAAAAGATCAGACTTTTATCTGCAATGGCAGACAGTGTACTTATAGGGTGATTTGCCCACATTTACATGTGATCCTATTCAGTATGGGAATAATTTTTACAAATGTAATTAACCTTTTAAAAAATAGTATACTGTCTCTTTCAAGTTTGAAGCTGTTGGATTTTCTCCTTCCTTAAACATATAAATTTGTGTCTGTCCTTCAGGTTTGTTGTAATGGCACAAGGGTCTTTGTACAAAAGGAAATTCTTGATAAATTCACAGAGGAAGTAGTGAAACAGACCCAAAGGATAAAAATTGGAGATCCCCTTCTGGAAGATACAAGGATGGGTCCCCTCATCAACCGGCCACACCTGGACCGAGTCCTCGGCTTTGTTAAGCTGGCAAAGGAGCAGGTGAGAAATAGGGAGACGGGATGGCCAGGGGAGGGCCAGGTAGGCTACGTGCTGTGGGCCTTTCCCCACGTTCACATCCACTTCATTCTGCGTGTGTCCGGAACGGTGTTCTGCTTTGTGCTCGCGGCACAGACTGACACACTTAACATTCCAGGCATGCGTGTCAGAGTTCTGTGTTTAACTAGCATATGCATTCTCTTTTCCTTTGGCAGGGCGCTAAAGTGTTATGTGGTGGAGACCCGTATGTGCCGGAAGACCCCAAATTAAAGGATGGATATTACATGAGACCTTGTATACTAAGTATGTCCTCTTGTTTGTTTTAAGCAGTTTGAGTTAAATGTCTGATAGAAAAGAACTCATACAATCTGCACATGGTGGAAGGCAAGGGTTGGCAAGTTCCCTGTGACCTCTGAAGCCCCCTGGGTGCCCCTCCTCTTGGGTGACCACATGTGTGTGTTTACCTGGGACTAGAACACCTGTTTGGGAAGCAGGAAGCTCAAAAAAATGAAAGCCCATGTTTGATAAAAAATTAAGTAGTGAATGTCATTTCTCAAGAAAGTTGGTGGAAAATGTGTTTTCTTTGAACTATATGTCATCAATATAATAAAACCAGTTTGTCAGTATGTTAATATGGTAGAAAATTAGGTAATTTAATAATTTTTAGCACCTCCTTTCAGTCTGAAAAATCTCCTGTTTTGGACAGCCAAGAATGTGGTCATCCTGCTGTCTGCCAACCCACTTCCCTGCTGCCTCGGGGGCGACGGTGTTCCAGACCCTGTTGCCATTCCCACGCTCTCCTTTGTCATTGTATGTGTTAGTAGCGCCTATGAAAACATTGTTAGTTTTGGGGGCCTTAGACACTATATATAGATTGAGTTCCGTTGTATGATTCCTTAGACCTTATCTGAAGGTAGGTTGAGCTGATTTTTCTCTAGGGTGACAGTGGTGTCAGTTTTCAACACTGAGTTATTGGATGCAGTTTAACCTTTAGCCTTTGCTAAAGAGCCACTGAGGCTTAAAAGGTGTGAACTGAACATCCATACCATGGATTAGCTTGTCGTTATCAAGTAATTAGGAAAAGCTTACATTTTTAAATAAAAGATATTGGTTAAAAAACCTGTTGTGCAGGTATTAACCTAAATCTATTAAACACCAAATGGGTGCATAAGAAAAAGAAGGGATAGTAATAGTGGGCTTTTGGATGCTGGAATTAAAGAGGATCTTTATGATACTTTGTGGTTTTCTGAACATGACAGATTTTCACACAGAGCATGTAATTTACTGTCAGAAAAAAAGGTTATTTTTAACCAGGCTGTGCACCCAGGCAAAGAACAAGGAGCTAACTACCTTAACTTTATTCTAGGGATTCCAGAAGCCTGGTTTGTGGTCTCTGACATCAATATCACTTGGAAAACTTGTTAAAAAAGCAGATTCCTGGTCCCTGCGCTGTGCAATTTGCAGAAGCCTGGCTTAGAGACCTGCCTTTTATTAAGCCCCCAATTCAAATTTATGCACTTTGAAGTTTGAGAATGATCTAGATCTCCAGGTTCATTTGCATAAGACTTGGGGACTAAAGCAGAGTGTTATGTTTCGGCAAGAACCTTTCCTTTCCCTGTATGTCAGCTGTTTCCTGATCCCCCCATCTCTCTGGCTCCAGCACAGGACTCCGTGCACGCAGAGCCTGTGTGCACTGTCATGTGTGGACGGCATTATCACCCAGCCTATGATAATGAAACACTGTCTAGGACTAGGTAATGAATTGTCTTGAGTAACTTAATATTCTGGCTAACAGTTTCCCTAAAAGTTATAATAGTAGATTACTAGTTTTCAGAGAATTAGAACCTAATCTATCCTTAAACAATTATTTTGTATATCTTTGGAGATAGCTTAGGTGTCCCCTAAGTGCGGTGTCACGTCCGGCTGAGCAGAGTGCTGTTCCCACTGTGCGTACACAGCTCTAATCCATCTGAAGAGATTTTAGAGTTGTCGTCTCTGCAGATACGTGAATACTCCGTTTTCAGACTTCGTCTGTGCAAAGCTGGCGTTTACAGTAGGGTCCTCCGGCTGTTTTTCTATCCTCTTGTTCACATGTACAGCACAACCCTGTGAGCGACATATCCCACTCCAGCACTGACATGTGTCCTCAGGTTCCTTGCACATAAATGCACCACTCTTGAGATTTGCTGGGGTTCAGTGTTGCACATCCAAATATATGAGCTTCCTTGGATATGCATATTTTAAAATGCCGAGTGAGAATTCAGTCATTTAGAACTTAAATCCTTTTTCATATGAACATCCCCTCAATTATTTCTACGTTTATGTTTTTATATAGGATTTTCTTTCTTTTACAAGACTGTTTCTGATTCTAATATCACAGAGTCATTAAGAAAATGTGGAAAATAATGAAATATTTATATGTGTAACATTTTAACAGATATTGGGACAATATATACAGTTAGTAGCTTTTAGTCAGTGTTTTATCACGAGCATTTACGTCAGTTTTCTTCAAAAGCATTACTTCTGGACGCTTCATAAAAGTTCGTCACTGGGGTGTGTGTAATTCATGTGATTCTCTGTCTGTTTGGGATGTTGAGTTTGTAGCTTCCAGTTTCCCCTGTTACAGGTTGTGATGAAAGGCCTTGTACGTACGTCCCTGTTCTCCTCATTAGCTGTTTCCTTACCATGAATTTTAAAAAGTGACTTTAGAATTACACAAAGGCTATGGCTCTTCAGTATGTATTAAGTTGCCGTGCAGAAAGGATGTTCCAGTTTATATCCACATTGGCAATGTCACTGAAATTTCCTCAAAGCTGTGTATTTCAGTTTACTGTGGACAAGAAGACATTTTCAAGTGCCAGGAGTAAGTCCTTCACTGATGCTTGATTTTATTGCAATGTTCGCAGCCGATTGCAGAGATGACATGACCTGTGTGAAAGAAGAGATCTTCGGACCAGTCATGTCCATTTTATCATTTGACACTGAAGCCGAGGTTCTGGAAAGAGCCAATGATACCACCTTTGGCCTGGCTGCTGGTGTCTTTACCAGGTGCGTGGGGAAGGGACACCCCAGGCGGCTTTGAGGGTATGGGGCTGCTGTGTCTGTTAGACACTTAATTGCTCGGATTCCCTCACTAGAGTCTGTCCTCACTGCATTTTCTGTTTTCTTCAGATAAAGTCCAAAGATGCCGAAGTACCTTCTCATAGTTAGCTCTGAATGCCTTCTATTGAGTTTAATTTGACCTATAAACATGGTTAATGAAAATTCCCTTTTTTCATTCATATAGTAAATAAATATTTAAAGGTCTGATTTCTGTCAAGTGTTGGGTTAGTTGCCTATTGAAAACATAGGTGTCAAGGAATTCAGAAACCTCTAGGCATATAAATACTGGCAGTATTCTTCAAAAACATGATTTTTAGTGGTTTTGTACAAGTTCCTAATTGGAATGGATTGTAACCCATGTAGGCATTTTTTAGGGTGTTTTCACTTTTAATTATTGTAAGTAATGTTGTGATTAATATCTTTGTACATAAACTGAGCCCCTATAATAAATGTAAAAAGTAATCGGGGAGCAAAATTTCTTTGAAAACGACTGCGTACTGCTGATGGTGCACAGACGGATGGCGCCGGCCGAGCGGGCAGCTTTCTAAGGCTGCTTCACTCTTGCCATTATGCTTTTTTAATGTGCAAGGTTAAATTGTGGGGTTTTTTTTTTTGATGAATTTGGATCATTAAATTTATTTATAAATTTTTTTCCCTTTTTAAAATTCAAGTATAGTTGATACACAGTATTATATTGGTTTCAAGTAGACGACACAGTGCTTCACCAGTTGCCACGTCATTAAACCTCACGCCCCTAGAGCAGTTACTGTCTGGCCGCACAGGAAGATACTACAGAATCACCGGCTATATTCTCCATGCTGCACTACCGTCGCCGTGACCAACACCAACTTATATCATGATTAAGAATTTTTGTGCCCCTTTATGTCCTTCACCCTCCCCCACCCACCCACCCCAACCCCTCCCCATGGTAACCATCAGTCACTTCTCAGTGTCTCTGAGTCTACTGCTGTTTTGTTCATTCTGTTCTGTTTTGTTTTTAGGTTCCACATATAAGTGAAATCATATGGTATTTGTCTTTCTCCACCTGGCTTATTTCACTGAGCCTAATACCCTCTAGCTCTATCCATGTTGTCCCAAAGGGAGAATTTCTTTCTTTTTCATGGCTGTACAATATTCCATCATGTATATGTACCACATCTTCATCCATTCATTTATTGATGGACACTTAGGTTGCTTCCGTATCTTGGCTAGTGTAAATAATGTGGCAGTAAACATAGGGGTGCACATGTCTTTTTTAATCAGGGATTTTGTTTTCAGGTGAGCTTTTTCATTGTTTTGATAGTGTCATTTACAGTACAAAATTTTTTAAATAATCTTTTATTTTTTGTCATTCACTTTTTGTGTCATGTCTAAGAAGGCTTTGTCTAACACAGGGTCATAAAGATTTATTCCTGTTTTCTTTGAAGAGTTACATGTTCTGTGGTTTTCTCTGGAAACATTTATTTAAGTCTGTGATCTAGTTGAGTGAATTTTTGTATGTGGTATAAGAAAGGGATCTACCTTCATTCTTCGGCACATGGATATCCAGTTGTCCAATACTGTTGAAAAGACTTTTTCCCCAGTGCAGCGTTTTGACATCCTGTTGCCGCTCCTTGTCCTATAGATGCTTTTGGATGCAGCCATCTGTAAAACTTAAATCCTTGCCTATTTTGCCTGGATGACTCAAGATTTTAAAACACATTTTGAAGAAAAAAGAATTTATCAATGTTTTTGAGACCCTTAGAACTATCAGTCTAACTTCTGTTAATAGTGGTAGCCAAGGAAACTGAATAACCACAGTGTTTCTTTTTTGCAGGGACATCCAGCGTGCTCACAGAGTGGTGGCTGAGCTCCAGGCAGGGATGTGCTTCATTAACAACTATAATGTCGGCCCGGTGGAGCTGCCCTTTGGTGGATATAAGAAGTCAGGTGAGGTGTGGCACGGGGTGGGAGCCGACCCTGTGAGAGAGGTCTCCCGGGGTGTTGGTCACGGTTCAGTCCTTATAGACCAGATTCCTAAACCTGCCTTGTATCAGAATCACCTGGAAAGGTAAGTAGATTTCTGGTCTTCCCCAGACCCACTGCAGAGTCTCTGGGAATGGAGGCCAGGCATCTTCTTTTTAAAAAAGCTCTCCAGGAGGTTGTGACATATGTATCCCGGTTTGTGACCTCTTGATAGGTACCTCAGAAAGATTTGTCTTGTGGGTAGAGTTACTTTTCTTCACTCTGTGATCGCTGTAAGCATCAAGTCCCCCCCAAGCGTCCACACTAGGGATGTTGGCCATCACCCAGAGTGGGGATTTTAAATTCAGTTCATGTAAAGTTTGGAAAGTAGTATTTCAGAAAGCATGTGATATATTGATTAGTTTTCCTAATTATGCCAAACTGATAAAATCCCTTCCTGTGACCTTTCAGTGAACCACAGTTGTTAGCCTCGCACTGGGTGGCATACGGGACGCTCCTAAGTGGAGGAGTGCCTCTCCTCTTTCCAGCACTCACACGTGCGCTACCTTGACATGACGGATCTATGCATCCAGGGTGTCAGGGTGTGGGGCGCTGGGTGTACGGCCAACGCCTTGAGGCTTGTTGGAGTCTGTGGCCCATAAACATCCACCAAAGTCCCTGGCTCTTCTGCGTGGAAAGTGGTTTGGGCTTTGTCAAGGCACCATTCTAAGCATCCGGCCCTTCGTTTCTTGGTAACTTGATGGCATTGGCAGCATTGGCAAACAAACCCTGATGGGTGCCGATGAGATGAGGGATAATTTCACAGTGTTGTTTGGCATTTAGTGTCTGGCATTCCCTAGGCACACTCCCACATTCCTCTCCGTGAGGTGCCCACAGGAACTGCCCTCACAGGCACCAGTGCAGAGTGGGCCCAGGCGCTGTGTCACTGGTGCAGAAGCCACAGAGCAGGGGGTCCCTCGTTAGGCATCTGCGGCCTGGGCCTCGCGGGGCCCTGTAGGCTGGCTTTCCCTTCCTCACCCCAGCCTTTGGCTCACTGTCCTGGGCATGCTCATGGGGGATGAGGGACAGAAAGGCGGCAGGCCTGCGGAGCAGCACCAGATCTCACGGCCCACGCGGCTCTGTGCTCAGAGGTACCGAGAGGAACAAAAGGCGGGGCGAGGCCCTGCCAGGGCCTGTGTATGTGTCACCTTTTGAGTGGTACCTGCTGGAGGTGTATGTTTTTGGGGACTTGGCCCTGCTCTTTGGAGGTGGAGCCTACCTAAGTCTGGGGCAGGGTGGCAAGAAAGGCCAAGTGTGGGATGCTGTCCGTAACCTGGTAGTTGGGCAGTGTCCTGGGCTTTGGGTAATCTGAGCGGCCTCGGGTCTCCTGCCCCCCAGTGGGCGGGGCGTGAATAGCAGGCCGCTCCTACAGACTTAGTGTAAGAGGTTAATAAGCCCGTTAAGGAGAGTTAGGTTTTAAGTTAGCACCAACCTTCAAAGGTCTCAGTGGTGGTTGTAGAGACTTTAACTCTTCGTAAGAGTTCAGTAAGTTAAATAACTGCCTTAACTGATAAGAAAGTCAACACTCTCAGACCTCCACCCAGAATAGTGGATACCTGAGTTAAGATTCAGACCGGTAAGAAGTGAGACCTGGATTTCCTGTCTCCATGCCCGAGGGGCAGTTGCTCCCTCCCCCGACCCCTGCCCAGCTCTGCAGCTGGTAATTACAGCTGGGACTTCATCCCGGAACCTTTCGGCTCTGGGTTCTTCCCCGGCCGCGCCAAGTGGTGTTTGTGTTTGAGGGTCACTGACTTGAGACTGTTGCACTGACGGCTCGTTGTAACCCCTTCTCTTCCTTTCAGGGTTTGGCAGAGAGAATGGCCGTGTGACAATTGAATATTACTCACAACTGAAGACCGTATACGTGGAGATGGGGGATGTGGAATCTGTGTTTTAAAAACGTGCAGCGAAGCCAGTCAGCACGGCAGGCTGTGGAATAATGAGTCTGCTTTCTGCATAGAGGCAGTTCAACTACATACCATTTAATTCCAGAATTTTGATCAGTCAGGATAAGAGAAGGGTTCAGTGTTATTCTTCTTCTCTCAGTAATTTTACTAATTCAGGATGTGCATAAGTGCCTTTTACCTGCCAATCAAGGAAGTTGTGTTTTCCTCAAAGCAAATTTCTGTGAAATCTTTACGAGCTAGTAACACACTCGAGAAGACAGAGGGGCCAGGCTTGTACTTCCTCCAGACTGGACCCAGGGCCGGTACTCCTTGTCTGGCTTACGGTAAACAGCTTGTTCCTGGTGGGACTTGTCATTCCATTGAAAAAGCTGACAGTTGGCTTAGAGAAGGGGATTAGGTAACAGACAGGGACAGATTCTGCTTGAATGTCAACGTGCCAAACCAGGTACTGTTTCCCCTTGGTGCTGTGGTGAGGAAGCAAAGGACCCCAGCACCCCGTCTCCAGTCCTTGAAGTACAGCGAGCTCTTTATGTGAGGAGAATTACCTTTTAAATGTACAAATTGCATGCTACTGTAGTGCACTGAAATGAAATAAATCACACTCTTAATCTTTCCAGTTTGATGTTTTGAAACTAAAATTTCAGGGTTATAGTTGGACACAGGCTAGGGCTGAAGATCGCTAAACCAGGCCCAAAGTGGGGTTGGTTCTGTGCAGCCGAGTCACCAAGCCTGAGCCACCGCCTCACCTGGCTGCACCTGCAGCCTCCCCCAGGAATGTGGTCAGTCAGGAATGTTCTGGCCACAGGATGTGGTCATCTGTCCCTGAGCCTTCCCATCCCCAAAGATGGATGAGGCGATCTGCATGCTGCAGCCCCCTGCTCCGCCCCCAGGGGAGGGTGACCTGGCCTGACCAGCCCCTTCCTTTCTTTTGCGAATAACTTCTTGCCCCTCCCTCCCCACCTGCCATTCCTGCCAGTAGAAACCTTCCATTCTGTGCAACTCAGCCGAGCAGTTCTCTGCTTGCTAGAGAGGATGTTGCCCAATTCATGAATCGCTTCCTAAAGTAAATTGGATCTTCAAATCGAATTTTGTTGAATTTTGTTTTTTATAGCAAGGTAAATGTATAAGGGAGAGGCTTTGGGCTTCTTTGCAGTAATGCACAAGGGTGTTCTTAAGCTGCTACGATGAGCTCTCCATGGCCTGGTGAACCAGAGGGCTCCGTGGGCTCCCACCCTGGTGGCAGCACCTGCCCTGGACCAGCTGCCGCATCATGGGGGACTTGGGAAACTTGCAGGGATCCTCGTCCTGCCCCCCACTCGTGGTGCTGCCGATTTGCACAGAGGTCACGTATGTGAGACTGAGCAAGGCCCATAATTACCCGCCTCAGGGGTCCTTGTGCGACCTACCAGTAGGAGCTGCTGGAGGAAGACGTGTTCTGGCAGCTCCTCCAAAGAGAAAACAGCATTTGGCTGCCCACTGCGATGCTGCTGCTCATCCCTTCTCAGCTAGTCCGCTAAGCCTAAGGGAGACAGTCGCCCTGATTGTCAGGTGAAGGAATAGGACTGGGGATGCCTGTCACAGCTGGGTCATCAGCTGAGCAGCAGGATTCGAATCCAGGTATGTGGGACCTTGCTTCTTAAGGTTTTAACTCGGTGTATAGTCTTCTGTGACTGCTGTAACCAGCTGCCCACAATTAGGGACTTGAAAGCAACAGACGTATCGTCTTACAGTTCTGGGGGTCAGAAGTCTGATGTGGTTTCACTGGGCAGAAACCAAGGTGCTCCAAGGCCCTGCTCCCTCTCGAGGCTGTAGGAGAGGATCCTCTCCCCTGCCTTTTCCAGCTTCTAGAGCGGCATCCCTTACGTCCTGTGGCTCCTGACCCCTTCCTGTCATTAAAGCCAGCAGGTCAGCATCTTTAAATCTGTCTCTCTCACTGCCACCTTCCTCTCTGGGTCGTCAAGTCTCCCTCTGCTTCCCTCTTACAAGGACACTTGTGATTGTATTTAGGGTCCATAGAATGGTCCATAATTGTGTCATGTCAAGATCCTTAATCATATCTGCCAAGTCTGTCACATAAGGAACATTCACAGGTTCCAGGAATTAGGAGATGGACATATTTTCGGGGGTAGTGGAAGTCAGCCTGCTGCAGCCAGCATGGTCCACAGTGAGTTCCAGAAGATGAGCTGTTGTATTTCAAAATTTACCTGGACCCAGAACCCTGTTTTTTAATGAAGCATCTTATGAGAGTAATGATAGGCACTAAACACACTTAAGGAAATGTGACTTAGCCAAGAGGCCAGGCCTTGCTGTAATTTGGATGAAGTGTCATTGAGCTAGATTCTGGAATCTTCTTTTTTCTCTCCTGCTATTTTGATTCTTTGGAAAGTTAAGCAGAAGGCACCCTTCTTTCTCCTTCCCCCATTGACTCGTACCCCCAGAGGTAACTACTGTTAACATTTGGGCACACATCTTCCCTAGGATTTTCTTGAAGGAATTAACTGCTAACCCAGTATCCTGATAGGGCCACATATGGACAGACTGAACTCGTGCCCTTTTGCATTGAAGATCTCTTTGGTCAACAGATTGCTGTGCTAAAGGTGTTGCCAGAAGCTTTTTGGAATTGTATCACTTCAAGGAAAAAAGAAAGCAAGTCTCACGCCGGCTCATTCCTTTGCAGTAAATCACCCAGAATCCTCATCTCTCACTTGGCTTTTCGGTGACCCATGCAGAGGCAGTGCCCTATGACAGGCAGCCACTGAGCCCTATATTTCTTCCAGCTCCCCTTTTTTCTTACTCCACAAGATCCTCTTGCTGCCTGTGGCGGGAATCTGGCAGGAAGAAAGTTGGTTGAAGTTCACGGACACCACCCCGTGAAGCCCTCCTGAGGAGCACACTTGCCCGCCTCTCCCAGGGGCAGGGTCTCCACGCCAGCATCTCGGACATGCCTCGATTCTGAGTTTGGCTTTCCTCTGATATAAAAATGATTCCTTGGTTTTTCTTACCCTTAAAGACATCTACATCTTTATCTTTATTTTCAGGATCTGAAGGGGAAAAAGTCAGCAAAGGGGAAAATGTGACCAAGCCTTAGCAGTTAAATGAAGTGAAAAATACAGAACTCAGATCAGCAATTATCTTTTTAAAGCGAATCAGAATGCAAAATGCAAGATGCTTGTGCTCTCTCTAGATCCCACTGTGGCTTTTGACTGCAGTGAGAACAGAACCAGCCCCTCCCTGCGGCCTCTGTTCTCTAACTTCATCTTCTCTCACTCTGCTGGGCTGTCCCGGCCTCAGGAAGCTCCCCTTCTGTTCCCTCTGCCTTGGGGCTCCTTAAAGCCAAAAGCTACAAGTTCTCCTTAAAGCTGAAGCAGCCACACACCCCTTATCCCACTAACCTGTTTTATTTATTTCCAAGCATTTATTGCTATTTGAAATTGCGTGCTTCTTGCATCTTCAACTAGAGTGTAAACTGTAAAAGCCGGAAGTGCCCTGCCCTGGGCTCCCAGAGCAGTCAGGGTGAGTGACGGGTCAGAAGGCCGGGCTAGTGTCTTGCTCATCAGGCGTACAGAGCCTCAGTTCCCACCTCTGGCCTTGGAAGCAGAGCCTGCCTTTTACAAGGTCCCCAGGGGATTCCTGGGCACAAGTTGGCACGGGCTGCTCTTAGGGCAGTGGTTCTCAGCTTTGGCTGCACATCAGGATTTAGTGGACAGAAAAGATTGAGAACCACTGCTTTACCGCTTTGTTATCCCAGCACAGTAGCCACTAGGCACACATAAAAATTTGGCTTTTTAGTTGCTCTTGCCACACTGCAAGTGCTCAGGGCCACATGTGGGGCATGGCTACTGTACAGGACAGCACGGAGGTACAATCTGTCCACCGTGTCAGAAGGTACTGCTGGACGGCGCCGTATAAGAGGGAACTAAGAGGCTGTGGTTTTCCAGTGAGTGAGGAGAGGACCTTTGGGGGCAAGTGCCCTAGGGAGGAAAAAGGAATGAGGCTAGGCTGGTTGCTGACTTCTGATGAACGATATCTCCCCAGCAGGTGGCCCCCTGCTTCCTCCAGTGCTGGAACCTGGGCTGGCCCATGGCCATGGGGCATTGTCATGCAGGAGCTGTCGTTGGAGCCTCAGGAACCTTACACAGTAAGTGTGGTCGTTGTTCCCAACTCACAGCTGGGCAGGCTGAGGCTCGGGGACTAATAAACTTGCCCCAGGCACACAGCTACCTGCAGGGGGCGTACTTGAGGTATGGTGTGGTGCAGTGAAGGACTGCATGATTCTCCTATTTCCATCTGTAACAAAACCCAGAGTGCGTTCTGTGTAGAAGCAAACCGGCCCTGGAGCACGCGCTGCGGTGAGGGGTAGCTGTACTTACACCACGTGTTTTCCATGAGAGAATTTAACAGAAACTAGCTTGTCAGACTGAGTTATTCTCAATTGCAGCAATCTACAAGTGGATTCTAATGAGCCCTAGGGTGCCTGCAAAGAAACAGGGAAATACACAGGCAGAGCTCTGGGCTCCCCGTTTCCATCAGCACACTTCTGTGTTGGGGATCCTCATAAAACTCCATTTGAGCCTACTGTATGACAGCACAATGGCAGAGATGGGCCATGTCACTCTGGGAAGCTCCTCCTGTTAAAGACCTCAAAGGCGAAAACCCACCTTTGTCCCCAGCCCTCTCCTGCCCCGCTTTGCTGCTGCTGCCTGTAGGGACCCCCCTCCGCCAGTGTCTTCAGAGATCTCTCACCACCCCCACCCCCCAACCATCACCATAACCCTAGCTTATTACAAATTAAACTTATTTTTTCAAGTCAGGACCAGTAATACCCTGCCATTCATCACAACCATCATTTCATAAAGGGACATTTTAATGCAAAAAAGGATACAAGTTAAAGCTTGATGGGAACAGTCCTGATTTTCCTTTACACTGCTGGAAATTTCTCCCAAACCAAGCATAGACTGATGTAGCCCAGCCTCCACATCGAATGTCTGGAGGGAGCCAGGTGGCCACTGGGCAAGGCTCACTGTCTTCAGTGGCCACCCCGAGCGTTCTGAGCAATTGTGGAGTACAATGGAAAAAGCACGGATTTTACAGTCGGGCCTCGGCTCAAATCCTATCTCTAGTCCTCGCAGGCTCTTGAGCACTCGAAATGTGGCTCACGCAGCTAAAGAACTGATTTGTCGTGTGCTTAAATTCTGCTCATGTAAATCTAAGTAGCCCCATGTGGCTAGTGGCCACTGCACCAGCCAGCACAGGTCTAGACGCCATGTCTCTGCTAACGGAGTTCGCTTTGATTTGTGGAGCACCATCCTGTCCCGCCACTTGCCTTGTTCTCCAAGTCCACTGAAACCTTTTAAGTGCTCCGTATTTTGTTGCTGGTGGTGTCTTTCCCCATTTTACCTTTGCAGTCAGCTCTCCGTATCCAAATGTAGGGGTTATATTCATCTCCATTAAGTTCCATAATCTTGAATTTAGTCTGTAGCTTCAGTTTTTAACCACAGAAGCAATCTTCAGTAGAGGTTTTAGAAACCCTACTGTCATTCTGTGTATTATAGCAGTGATAAGATGAAATAGTCTTAAGTCCTAACTAGAGCTAAAAGTCTTTCCTGCTTTGAGCCCCTATTTTTCACCACTGTGGCCTGATTATGAACATAGTGGGGCATCTTCTCAACCTCACGACGTGCTAACTACACACCCTCTGGCAGGGTGAGGAGGGGCGTCGGTACCCGCGGCCCCTCGCTCAGCTAGAGGAACAGGTTACTGACTTTAGACAAACACTCAAAAATAAAGAGGTGATGGAGTCAGGGTTAGGATGAGGCTGATGCCAGTAAGTTTTATTATATTTAGAAAAAAAAAGGTAACTTGAAATAAAAGTAAAGCCACTCAAAATGAACGAGAGGTTTTAAACACCCTATAATTATTTAATGGCAACATTTGGACCCGCTGCCCAAGCCAGTTTTGACCCAGCCAAGATGCTGGAAGGCAGAGCACACAGTTGTGCCCATCAGGCCAATGAGGGCGATGGAGCCCAGCGCTCCACGACTCCGCTTGCTGGGTTCTGAAAAAAAGAAAGAGTAGATGTGACCTATGTCAGCATCCGCTGGCCATTCTGCCGCGGCAGCTGGGGCTGTAGGTCAGACCATCCGGTCCGGGGCAGTCACCCAGCTCGTTGGCCTGCAGCTGCAAGAATGCCGGACACTGCCGGCAGAGTAATGCGCCTCAGTAGTGTTGCTTGGACCCTAAGTTCTGGGGTAATGGGAGCAGCTGTGCTCCGGAGCCTTTGGGAGTGTTTCCCCCGCCCAAGAGGTAAGTACAGCCAAGAGCCATCTCCTCCATCTCCCTCCCTGAGGCGCGCCATTTCCAGCAGCAGGCGCCGGTCTCTGGCAGGCCGCCCGGTTCGAATCCTCACTAGTTCACACCCAGTAGCTCCGTGACCTAGCGCGGTCCTCTTTCTAAGCCTCAGTTTCTTCATCTATAAAACAGCACGGTATTATCTGTGTTACAGAACTGTAAAGTTAAAGAGCATGTGCAAAGTTCTTAAAACAGCAGATGACATTAAAAAATGCTCAATAGAAGTTAAGGTTTGTCACTCTTCAAATGTTCATAAAAGGAAAGATGACAGACCTTTCACCTAAATATCAAGTTACTTTCTCCGAAAGCCCTGCTGAGGAGGAGTGCAGAGCAGCCTGAGATTTGGAATTTATTTCCTGGGCAGGTGTGGGTGGCTCACCTCCTGTGTAGTAGCCGTATGCATAAAGGGCTCTTCCCACAATCCAGGCCATGCCCAAGCCAGAAGCTATACGCTAAAATAAAAGGGTGACGTTAGCATTTGCGGTAAAGAAATAGGCACATCTTTCTTTAAACTTCTGGGTTGATGACACAGTGTTTCAGCAAAAACTTATGTCATGGATATAGTAAAATACTCCCCACCAGGTTAGGTTGGATTACATTATTTGTTCCAGTTGGGACATTCAAGGATGTGTGATTCCTTGAGCTGCCCATGGATCTGGGACAGGAGGACAGGCCTGGGTGGGCACGCGGCCTGGCTGGACCTCCTGGTGTGCCCTGGGGAACTCCATTTGCTAAAGCACAAGAGGACAGGCCGGCCGGAGCCTAAGCCCACAGAGGAACCCCACCAAGAGTCAGGACTGGGGACGCCCTGTTGTCTCAGATGGGCCTGGAGTGGGAGCCGGAGGCCAGCTTGGGCAGCCACGGGCTGCGTGGGCTCAGTGAGGCCCCCGGGAGGGGCTCCAGCAGGCTGGGCTGCGGCCCACACACAGGTGTGGGGCTCCCCCCATAAAAAGCGGGGAGAGTCAGTTGTGGACCCCAGAACATGGTTCTGGAGGGGGAAGTCTCCTCATTCCCAACACCCTTGAGAAGACAGAGTGAAAAGTTTATGCAAGATGAAAAATCCTTCTATTTGGGTGCCACCCTGGGTGACCCTGTGGTGAAAAAGAGTCAGGAGAGAGTAAGAGGGAGGGAGGGTGTGTGAGAACATGACACACTGCATGTCCCTGTCCCAAGTAACAATTAGTGCCATCGGTGGGCTAAGGTTACTACATTAGGATTTTTGTTTCTTTCTGGTTGATTTTTGGGTAAAGTTACTTATCAGTAGGTGCATGGAACAGCTAGAAGTAAAAACCCTGGCCTATAAACTTTACCTACAAGCTCTATTCTTTACTGTTGCATAATTCCCAGCCTAGGAACAAAATTAAACATAAGGGCTACGTTAGCATTTGCACTGTAGTCCTCAGAGTAGCTCTGAGAGTATTTTTAAGAACTCAGCACAAGGAATGGGACCTAGGGGAATGGGACAGGAAAGGGGATGGGGTGGACATCAGGTGATGCCTGATCAAGAGACACCAACTCGTCTATTTAGACAAGCTGGCATGGGGCCTCCTTGCAGGCACAAGAAAGTAATACCTTCTCTAAAAGATCAGCAGATGTTTCTTTGAAAAAATAAGAGTTCAGGTCAGAACATGAATAAGAGGTCATGAACTATAAATCTACCACGCTGGCAACTTATAACAAAAGCACAGAGCCACTGAGGTCAGACCAGAGGCTTAAGAGGGTGCAAACCAGAAATGTAAAGTGCCAGAACTCTGGTCAGAACTCAGTTAAGGAGAAATCTGGCCCCTGAACAAGAAACACTTTCTGTCTAAGGCAAGACCCAAATGGCAACTCATGAGGATTTGATAAGCTTGTTTTATTTGGCAGAGGTGTAGCGCAGACCAGCCCTGTGGAGTATGCATAAAGGGCTCTTCCCACAATCCAGGCCATGCCCAAGCCAGAAGCTATACGCTAAAATAAAAGGGTGACGTTAGCATTTGCGGTAAAGAAATAGGCACATCTTTCTTTAAACTTCTGGGTTGATGACACAGTGTTTCAGCAAAAAGTTATGTCATGGATATAGTAAAATACTCCCCACCAGGTTAGGTTGGATTACATTATTTGTTCCAGTTGGGACATTCAAGGATGTGTGATTCCTTGAGCTGCCCATGGATCTGGGACAGGAGGACAGGCCTGGGTGGGCACGCGGCCTGGCTGGACCTCCTGGTGTGCCCTGGGGAACTCCATTTGCTAAAGCACAAGAGGACAGGCCGGCCGGAGCCTAAGCCCACAGAGGAACCCCACCAAGAGTCAGGACTGGGGACGCCCTGTTGTCTCAGATGGGCCTGGAGTGGGAGCCGGAGGCCAGCTTGGGCAGCCACGGGCTGCGTGGGCTCAGTGAGGCCCCCGGGAGGGGCTCCAGCAGGCTGGGCTGCGGCCCACACACAGGTGTGGGGCTCCCCCCATAAAAAGCGGGGAGAGTCAGTTGTGGACCCCAGAACATGGTTCTGGAGGGGGAAGTCTCCTCATTCCCAACACCCTTGAGAAGACAGAGTGAAAAGTTTATGCAAGATGAAAAATCCTTCTATTTGGGTGCCACCCTGGGTGACCCTGTGGTGAAAAAGAGTCAGGAGAGAGTAAGAGGGAGGGAGGGTGTGTGAGAACATGACACACTGCATGTCCCTGTCCCAAGTAACAATTAGTGCCATCGGTGGGCTAAGGTTACTACATTAGGATTTTTGTTTCTTTCTGGTTGATTTTTGGGTAAAGTTACTTATCAGTAGGTGCATGGAACAGCTAGAAGTAAAAACCCTGGCCTATAAACTTTACCTACAAGCTCTATTCTTTACTGTTGCATAATTCCCAGCCTAGGAACAAAATTAAACATAAGGGCTACGTTAGCATTTGCACTGTAGTCCTCAGAGTAGCTCTGAGAGTATTTTTAAGAACTCAGCACAAGGAATGGGACCTAGGGGAATGGGACAGGAAAGGGGATGGGGTGGACATCAGGTGATGCCTGATCAAGAGACACCAACTCGTCTATTTAGACAAGCTGGCATGGGGCCTCCTTGCAGGCACAAGAAAGTAATACCTTCTCTAAAAGATCAGCAGATGTTTCTTTGAAAAAATAAGAGTTCAGGTCAGAACATGAATAAGAGGTCATGAACTATAAATCTACCATGCTGGCAACTTATAACAAAAGCACAGAGCCACTGAGGTCAGACCAGAGGCTTAAGAGGGTGCAAACCAGAAATGTAAAGTGCCAGAACTCTGGTCAGAACTCAGTTAAGGAGAAATCTGGCCCCTGAACAAGAAACACTTTCTGTCTAAGGCAAGACCCAAATGGCAACTCATGAGGATTTGATAAGCTTGTTTTATTTGGCAGAGGTGTAGCGCAGACCAGCCCTGTGGCTCCCCAGCCCCTGGGGCCTGCCTCCTGCGCTCTGCCCTCACCACCTGCCTATAGTCTGCTAGATGCACCAGGCAGGCTCCCACCTCGGCCTCAGCGCTGCCCTTCCACCTGGAAGATGCCTGGGGACGTCTGTGGCACCTGTTCCCTTACCTTTCAAAGTTTTGCTTAATTGTCATCTCAGCAAGGCCCCGCTCTTGGCCACCCCACTCAGAACTGTCTCCCTGTCCACCTTCCCTGCTTGGTTTTCTTCTGTACACGTCACCTTCTGCGTACTACATGGTGTACTTAAGTTGCTTTTTGCCTGTGACCCCAGCTGAAAGTAAGCTCCAGGGAACCAGTTATCTTTGTTTAGTTCACTGTTATGACCTCAGGTGTCAGTACATGTCTGTTGCAGGAATGAATGATATGGAAAATGAAAAAATTCTATGGGCATGAACCTTCCAGAATTCCAGAACCCTTGGGCTCAAACTCTGATTCTACTCTGTAGCTATTTGACCCTGTAGAAGTCACATAGTATCCAAGAGGTTTCTCCTTTATCTGTAAAAAAATGAGGAAAATTCTATCTACTTTAAAGAACATTGTAAGAAGTAATTGAATGAAATTATCTTGGTGCCTGGACACTAAAGATGTTCGTTAAATGTTCACTTCCTTCTTCCTTCCCTGATAGGTCAGTGAACTAAATCCAAATAGATGAAAACCCCTGGAAAAACTTACCGGGTGGTAAACACCTCCAATAGCTAGAAAAAATAAGAAGGGGGGATATACTTCCAACCTGGAATAGACAGAAAGGAATTTTTTTTTACAAAGTACCCCATTAAGTATGTCTATATAAAGCTAAGAGGCCTTTACCCAGTTACTTGCTAAGGTAGAAACTGGAGGGTAGGAGTAAACATTGACCGGAGGGAGGAGACCCGGCCGCTGGGACCTGCCCTCTTCCGTGCAGGCTGGGATCAGAGAAAATCCCCTTTAAAGGTAAGCTGCTGCGAAGCATCTTCTGTCATACCCCTGAAAGATGGTCACTTCTTGCTTAACTGTTTGCAGTGACCAGGGTCTCAGTTCTCAGAAGCAGCCTCAGTCTATGTCTATTAATACCCAGTAATGAGAATGGGTGTCTGTGCCACAGCCGCACAGGGATGGAGGCAGCCTGTGCTGACCCGCCACCACCAGGGACCCCAGGCGCACCGCTAGGACGCAGTAGGGCAACTGCGCCTGCCTGAGAGCCACCCGGCACCGCGTCCTTTCACGAGTTCCCTTAATGTGGGAACAGAAATTGAGCATGTGAGAATTTTAATGAATGTGCCCATTAAAAAAAGGAACTAAATATGAAAAATTAAAAATAAGCTTCAGTTAGGGAATCTGATTATAAGTCGCCAAACAGAAATAGACACTTAAATTGCTCACTGGGGATAAATTCCGTAACTGTCCCTTTTAGATCAACTAGAACTAAAGGAAGCGATTTAACAGTCTAATGTCTAAGCCCAGGGTAACTGCAGGACCACATATTTCTTTTCAAAATGAAAAACAGGAAAATCACCTTAAGACATTTTTAAAGTGGTAGACCAGGAAACACTGTTGCCAGTTAACCCTTTTAATTTTTTATTTTATTTGTCATTCGGTTTTTAAACTGAGGTATAATGACGTACAACATTACATTCGTTTCTGGTATAAAACATAATGATTCGATATGTGTATATATTGAAAAATGATCACTACACTAAGTCTAGTGCCCACCCATCACCGCCAAACACACCGAACAGTTTTTGCTTATGATGAAAACTTTTATGATGCGCTCATCTGAACAACTTTCAAATATGCAAAAAAGTAGTATTTCCTACAGCTGCCGCGCTGTGCATTCTGCCCCCAGGGCTCACTCCTAACTAACTGGGAGTTCACACCTTCTGACCCCCTTCACCCATCTCACCCGCCTCCCGCCCCCCACCTCCTGCAGCCACTGATTCGTTCTATTTGTTCTCTGTATCTGTGAACTTGTTTTTTCCCCTAAGATCCCACATACAAGTGCATCACACAGTATATGTCTTTTTCTCACTTATTTCACATAGCACAACACTCAAGATGTATCCACATCATGAAATGACAAGATTTCAGTCTTTTTTTATGCCATGCACACACACACACATACACACACACACACACACACACACACACACACACCTTCTGCAGTGAACATGCAAGGGGTGCAAAGATTTCCTTTTTGTGAGTAACACCCCATTATACACCTATACATGTGTGTACACATATACATGATACACACATACATTATACATACACACAAAATGATGCAGTGAATATGGGGATCATACATCTTTTCGAGTTAGTGTTTTCATTTTCTTCAGCTAAGTACCCAGAAGTGGCATTATGGGATTGTATGGTGTTTCTATTTGTAATTTTTAAGGAACCTCCATACTGTTTTCCATAGTGGCTGCACCAATTCACATTCCCACCAACAGTGCACAAGGGTTCTCTTTTCTCCAGATCTTTGCCAACATGTGCTATTTCTTGTCTTTTTGATAAAAGGCATTCTCACAGGGGTGAGGTGGTGTCACTGTGGTTTCGAGGTGCATTTCCCAGATGACTCATGATGCTGAGCATCTTGTCATGTGCCTGTTGGCCATCTGTATGTCTTTGGCCATTTTCAATTGAATTTTTTTGTTGTTGTTATGGACTTGTGTGAGTTCTTTATGTATTTTAGATATTACCCCTTAATCAGATACATCATTCGTGGATATATTCGCCCATACAGTAGGTCGCCTTTGCCTTTTCTTGATGATTTTCTTCACTGTGCAGCAGCTTTCTAGTTTGAAAGTTTCTAGTCCCCTTATTTAACCCTCTTTAGAAAATAACACTCATCCTAGCAGATAGCTCCAGCCAGAAGCCTACGGTTCTGTCCCCAGCACACCTGGTCTTCTACAGAAGAGACAAAGTAAAAACAAGATGGGCCTGCTCCCCCACAAGGCCCCACATTTCTTGCCTTCTTCCTGCCAGGAAGGGGCGGAATTCCTACCAGGTGCAGCGCTGAGACTGTCCCCACTGCCCAGGAGCTCCTTCCCTCTCCCTCCAAGACTGAGAACAAACTGTCGCCCTGACCAGCACGGGCCGGGCCCCCCTTACCTCCACTTTGTACTTCTTGCGGGCCTTGGCGACGTTGATGGCCAGGTGAGCCACCAGTATGAAGCTGGCCGCGCCCGTCAGAACCACGAAACCGTATTCCTTGGAGAGGACAGCCATGTCGGCTCTGTGGGAGAGAGACCACATTAGGTGTCGCCCAGCACAAGGGCCCCCGCGCGGTAGGCGGCCTTACGGAGCACAGAGCAAAAGCGTACGAGTACATCTGATGTTTCCAAGGGGCGGTCGGAGATATCACTGTCCATCAAACAACAGAATTTAAAAATGGTTCCAGTATGCAACATACACACAGAAGAGTACATGGTACATATTGTGTGCTTGGGTTCCTCTGATCAATGTTACATTTATGAGGTTTACCTCTACCTTGGGAGTAGTTGTTACTATAGAATGGTACAGACACTAAAAACCACATTTTTGAAAAAATGTTTAACATGGCAAAATGCTAAAGAATACGTTAAACTATACATACAGAAGGAAGGAAATGGTGCACAACAGTTCCAAGGTTATGGTTGGGGTGTGTGTATCCGTTGGCACAGGGGACGCTGGGAGGGCAGGGACCTTGGTCACAGGCAGGGAACCCCGTCCCAGTGAAAGCAGAGCACGGCTCCTGAACGGAACGCTGCCAGGTGCCCATCTGAGGAGCCCGGCTGCTCCTCAGATTGTCACCTCCAAGCTCGCCCCCTGGCCGTTCTGATGCCTACAGCTGAATGTGTAACACAATGAAAAATGACAACATAAACCAGCAGAACAAACTGCTAATTACAGAATCTAGGTGGAAGCTGTACGAATGTTCAATGTACACTTCTTTCAGCTTTTCTGTATGTGAAAATTTTCATAATAAAATGTTTCATAAGAAAACACTAATTTCAACATTTTTCAGGGCTCAGCAATTTCAGCTGTTCTAGCTATTGGTCTGCACCAGAGGAAAAGAAGAGAGAAGAAACAGACAGGCCATCAGGGAGAAGAAAACTTGGCAGGTGGGAAGAAGCCCTAAAAATCTCAAGGTAACTTGGCGCTGCCCCTCAGCCTCTCTCTGAGCTTTGATGCCAGAGGGAAGCGGGTCAGGGCGTGGCAGAAACAGAGCAATAGCTACAGTGCTTCCAGAGATGGTCAGCTGCCCGCCCAGCCTGTGCCTGTGCGCGGCGTTCAGCTTAGAATTCCCACCCTTGGCAGCAGTCTGGCTGCAGTCCTCCAGTAAAGGCCGGGAGTTACCTGCTCAGGATGCTCCCAGCCATCTCACGAACAGCTCAACAAGACGGTAACAGGCCTGTTTCCCAAAGAGGGCCCAGAGGTTAAGTAATGTCCCACTGTCCAAAACAGAAAGCATCAGACACAGGTGGGATTCCAGTTTGGTTCCAATGTCCCCTTTCAATCCCTCGTGGAAAATCAGAGCCAAGCTGACCCTGGTGTCCCGGCATCTTTCTCCCTGAGGGGTTTGGGGCCGGCAAGCAGCCCAGTTCTTCCCTTAGGTCCCTAAAATACCATTTGGGGCTGAAGTTCTAAAAATTCGCACCACCCCCACCCCTGCCACCTGCCATGGCTCACAGGAATCCTCATCAGTTTCCCCTTCTACCTTCTTCACCTGGAGCTGCCAGCCCAGGGCCCCCCTCTGACCCCTGCTGGATGGGGGACACACACTGGTTGGGCCAGCTCCGTGAATCAGCACAGGAATGGCCTCTGGTCTGCATCCCCTGGGCTACTTGGGTGGCCGACCTCTGAACTTCCCTGCCTTCATTCTCTTCTAGAACTTCCAAAATTGAGAAAATCAGCTAGGGTCACAAGCTTCAGTAGTAGTTATTAAAACAAAAATAAAATACAGGGTGATTTCTGAACACCTTTGAAAACAAATAAAAATGACTTTGAACTTTTCATCTACCCAATATCCTTGGAGTTCAACACATCAGGGCCAAACAGGCTGTTTAAAATTAACTCTCTGACTTTGTCACAGGCCGCCTGTTTAAGGAGAGTCACACTAAGCACTTTTGGTGTAGGTCAAAGTTTGCAAGTGGAAGCTGCTTCCGGCCCCAACCTTTGGACAGGGCGACAGCTCCCTGGCAGCACGCGGTCACCCTGGGTTTGTGCGGCCCTTTGTGGCTCCCTTGTCTTCACAAGAATCTCACTAGCTGCATTTTACAGAAAAGGAAGTGGAGGCCCAGATAGATGAGGGCAGAGCTCAGGCCAGAGCAGGTTAGAATTCCTCCCCAGATATGCCAACTAGCCCAGGCAGAACACCAGGACTTGGTGGCTCAGTCACTGACCCCTGCCCTTCTGGTTTGTACAGGCCAAGGGTGGGAGGAGCGAGGGGCAAGACACAAAGTGCCTCTACAGTAGATGTTTCTGTTGTAGGCAACGAACATTCAGAAAAGCAACTGCTAAAAATTCACAATTAGAAATTGATATTTACGACTGAGCTCTGTTTCCAAAGTATAAATGGAACCTGGGAGGTGAAACCTGTTAGGCATTCACACTCTAGTGAGAGCGACTCTCCTTGCACTTTGCTAAAGTGTATGGTATTGAGGGAAAAGGAATCTGGGTGGGGGCAGGCAGAGCCAGGAACAGTAAATATCTTTGAAGGGCAGAGAATTTATAGTAAGAGGGACCCACAGTGCATGTCAGAGTGGGTGGTTTGCAAAAGACCACGTAGCCAGTTGTGGGACAGGGAGAGTGCTCGAGGCCTAAGAGTGACCCTCCCTGAGGCTTCTCTGCAGGTGTTGTGGACACTTCTGCACAGGTGCGAGAGCAAAGCCCAGAAAGCCACCTGCAGGTTGGGTACAGCCCTCTTGGACACCCACTCACTCCCCACAGTGTGGAGTCAGCTTCAGACCCCACAGTAGCGTGTGCGGTCAGCGCCGTAACAGGGAGCAGCCGATCTCAGCGGCCAAGCTCCTAGGAGGCAGGGGCTGTGATTGTATGGCATCCTCTTAGCCACCTGAGTGTGTGCCTGCAGGTGCTTGCGGAATAAATGAAGCATGCTGCAACCAGGGCGCTTCCAGGAACCACCCTCCGACAGCTGATGTCTGTCACCTAGCACGGTGCCTGGTCTACAGTACGCACCCATGCAATTCATGTTTCCTTTTTTCTCCTCAAAAGGATCTCCTGAAACAATGGAAGCAACTGGGTGTATGGATTTCTGAGGAAGAGGTGGTCAGAACAGAGAAAATCTGTCTCTGAAACTGCTGAAAAATCTGTCTCTGTAACTGCTGAAAACATAAATCCAAGAGGAACTGGAAAATGGTTGAGGCCTTTTATGGAAAGAACTTCAGCTGAATTCACTCAGTTAAAAAGAAAAAAACGACCATTTGCTGACTCCTCCTTGTTGACCTGACTGCACCCCATGCCGGTGTGCCACAGGGTAAGGGGAGGCAGCTCGGTTCAGTGGCCACACCCCAGGCAGCAGCGCCACACCCGAGGCCGAGCCCGGAGCTAGCAGATAGCCTCCTGGACACAGCCTTGAGCAGCTGATAACTGGCACATAACCTCCCTGGCATGAGCGCCCACTTGGGCTGTGCATCACATTTGGTTGATTATACACCTGCTCTGGGGCACCAGCAACCCCTTTATCGAACCAACAATATAAGGCTCTGGGGGTGGGAATTCTGCCCTCGACTTTGCCTTCTAGATGGTACTAGACCCGGCCCACAGTCCAGCCGTCCCTTCAGAGCTGAACGCTCAACAGAGCTGTAGATTACTCTGCAGTCACTTGGTTGTATAATAGCATTTGCTGATCAGCAAGCAGTTTCCAAGGTTAGTCTCATACCAGCTGTACAAATGAAAATTTATTATTCATATGACTAAAACTTATTTAGGTACATGTTAGGTACCTAATTGGCACTATTACACATTGGAGGGGAAGTGTAAAACAGAACCATCTGGAAACAGCCCGGTGACAGGGAATATTACATTGTGCGCACCTTTTGGTGCATTGATTCTACTGGGAATCTATCCCACAGAAAAGTGTGTATGAGGTAATCTTAGTCTTCTCAATAACAGAAAATTAAAGAAGGAAATGTCAAAATCATAAGCATGGTTAGGTCTAGGCAGCTAAATTGTAAATTTTTCCTTTGTACTTTTCTATGATCCCCAAAACAAGCAGATACACACAAAAACAGTTATGCAAAAAGCGGCCTGACAATAATTACTAGTTGAGAAGACAGAGGCACAGTGATGGAAGCAAAGAATTGGACCCGACTCCCCGCTGGAATCCTGGCCCCTTCCTGCTCTGGGCAGCGCACACGACGCCTGTGCAGGGAAGAGCGCGGTTTGGGTATCACTGACTGCAGAACCTGGGGCTCAGCCTTCCCAGCCGTGTGTCCCTGGGAACCTTGGTCTCCTTACCTGTTAGGTGGAGATAATAATGGTACCGACTCTACCCGTGTGGCTGTTGTGAGGATCAATGGAGACACAGTCTACTAACAGCCATCACGATGCCCAACACGTAAAGTACTCAGTAAATGTCTATGTTAATGTGAACTGTTTTTGCCCTGATTCAGCTGAATGATAATGCATACAAAGTTAAGAATTCGTAGAACTGCTAAAATAGCAAGCAAAGCTGGGAGCCACATCTATTCACCTCCTGAGCCATGTTAAAATCCATCATCGGTAAAGCGGAAGTGCTCAGGAGGCAGCAGGTCCCAGGGCGGACTGGACCGCGGCAGTGAGTGAACTGCAGCCACTCCAACCCTCGCTGGGGCAGAGGCGCTCATCTGTGCATGAGGGCGAGCGTGGGCCTGCCATGCGCCCCTTGGGGCCGGGGCCACAGATGAGGAGGTGAACGAGCGGGAACTTGCCCCTGCCCTCAAGAACCTCATGCTCCACCGGGTGAGGCAGGCAAGTGAATAAATCCCCACCTCCAGATATCCACCCCCACCGCAGTGGGCAGCACCTGGGCAACCCCCATAAAAGTGAAACTAATGGTGGGGTAAAGGCAGAAAGAGGACTAAAGCGTTCCATCCTCTCCTTATTAGTATTTGCAGAGGCGTCTGTGTTACTTAAAACTTTCCTGTAGTCTTGAGATGAGTCAGCGTAGTTCAGTTGAGAGGTTTAACTGAAACTAGCTTTTGAAGGTTTTCTTTTCAATTAGAAATTCTTGGTCACTTATTTAAGAGTAGA